TTTAGGGATTAGTTGACTAAAGCCTAATATATTAATTACTTGTCTCTTTGTTGTGATGAAATACCTGACAAAATTAGTGTAAAGGAAGGGATTTATTTTGTCACATGCTACCAGGACATACAGCCCAGTAGGAAGGTACAGCTATAGGTGTATATGGTGTGTGTACACGATGCTCGAGTGTACACACTCACACACCTGTGTGTGGCACAGCATGCAAGTAGAGGTCAGAGGACAACTTCGTGGAGTCAGTTCTTTCCTTCCACATTTATGTGGGTTCTGGGGCTCAAACTCTGGTCAGCAGGCTTGTGTGACATGTGCCTTTACCCATTTGAGCCATCTCACCAGCCCAGCCAGAATTCTCACTGGCACCTCCCAGCTGGTAACTAACCTCTGTCTTACCACCTCTTTCTTCTAAGCATGTGTATCTGCAGGGTTTTTATCTGACCCCTTTTTAACAGAGTAACTGTCTTCCTTTATGAAACCATATTTCCTGGTACCCTGTCTGCCCCAGGCCCTGGGGAATCAGAGGTGCTTTGGTCACTATTCTGTCCTCTGGGGCATCACCACCTACCACAGTGTGAGACATATTAAGTCTCAGTCTGCCCTGTGTTGGGTAGTGACTGCATCAAGATATATGCCTGGCACTTGGGTTACACAGTTCTCTCGGGGACTCAGAAGGGGTTTCTAAAGGAGACATTTGAGCTGGCCTCTAAACAATGGGTAGCCTTGTCCCAGACTGAAACTCTTTTAAAGTGTCAAGTTGCATAAACTCTAGACTCCTACCTGCCCCCTCCCTGGAGCCAGGGACCCTGTGCTTATTTCTAGGGAGCAGCTGCTGTTTCTTTACTCCTCCCACATACCTGATTTGAGACTGTCAAAAAGGTCTTTTGGCTGACCCATGTTTTAATACAACTAAAGCACATCTGTTTGTCATTGAGACCTAATGCCCCAAGCTCTGGCAACCACAGTGAACTGGCCACTATGAATGTTCCTAATGAGGAAATGTTTCTTTTGGAATCAAACACCTCCTAGACTTGTTTGTATGGGGACCAGACTCTGCACCTCTTGATACTTAACACATTGAAGTTCACCACACTAAGGAACAACAACAGGCAGAAGGCAGAGTCTTGCAAAGAGAGTATCCACATGATCAAGGAAATGCATGTGTGGTCAACACACACACACACACACACACACACACACACACACACACAGAGAGAGAGAGAGAGAGCACACACACACCAAGGGAATTGTTCCTACGTTTTAAGTCTTCCCAGATCCATGCTGTAGCATTTACTGGCTTCTGCCTTAGAGGAATGTATCCCATCTGGCCACCTGTCACTTTGGTTCTCTGAGACTTTTTGGACCTGTAGGAAACAATTCTACACTAAGGAACATTAACTTGGTTTCAAATTTATTAGAGAAAAAAATCAGGGTTGATGAATAAAAAATGTGAATGAGTAGCCGAGTGGTGGTAGCACACCCCTTTAATCCGAGCACTCAGTGGGCAGAGGTAGGTGGAACTCTATGAGTTTGAAGCCAGCCTGGTCTACAGAGTGAATTCCAGGACAGGTTTCAAAGCTACACAGAAAAACCCTGTTTTGGGAAAACAAAAAACAAACAAACAAAAAAATGTGAATGGGTGCTTTGCTTCAGGAGGGAGACAAAAGGCTCAGCACTAAGGAAGTTAGCTGTTCCAGCAAGGCTGATAGGATCTGGATCACATCTCAGAGAAAACAGTGCAGAAAACCAACGACTCACACTGCTCTTAGATCACCCCAAGGGTGGCATGTGCGGAAGGATCACCATTTCTGAAGAATCACTATAAAAAGTTACTGTAAAAAGTTTAGAAAGTGAGTGGGGCAGTGCCAGGAGAGGCTCCAAAGCTACATAGAGAAACCCTGTCTCAAAAAACAAACAACAAAAAAAAAAAAAGAAGAAAAGAAAAGAAAAAGAAAAAAAAGTTTAGAAAATGTAAATAAGGAGATGAGAAATGGCCCCTGCAGAGGACCCCAGTTTGGTTCCCAACACTCACTTGGTGGCTCCAAGGGCAACTGATGCTCTTCTAGTCTCTACAGGCACTGCATGCATGTGCACCCAATACATTCAACCAACCCATCCAGCACACATAAATAATAGCTAAATAACAACTAATAAAATGCTGGGCACAGTGGCACATGCCTTTAATATCAGCACTCAGGAAGCAGAGGCAGATGGCTCTCTACCAGTTCAAGGTCAGTCTGGTCCACATAATGAGATCTAGGCCATCAAGGCTAAAAGTGGGACCCTGTCTCAAAAAACTAAATTAGTAATAATAAATACAAAGAAGTGAATAAGCAAAAAAGATCACCCTATTTTCACAGCCTACAAGTAACAGTTATTACTGTTGTTATTTATGTGACTATCCTTGAAGATTTTTTCCATCAAGGAACAATCCTTCCCCGACAGAAATCAGGTCATACTTTCTAGTAACCTGTGCTTCTTCATTTAGCTTCTCCAAACCACCTTCCACACTTAGAACTTCCTTTTTCTTTTGGAGACAGGGTTTCTCTGTATAGCCCTGACTGTCCTGGAACTCACTCTGGAACTCACTCTGTAGACCAATCTGGCCTCGAACTCAGAGGGTCTCCTGTCTCTGCCTCCCAAGTGCTGGGATTAAAGGTGTGCACCACCACTGCCTGGCCCAAAAAACAAGTTTTTGACTTCTACCTTAGTATTTTTAAAAGCTGCAAACTATTTCTTCCGGAGACTGTATGGAAATGTAGCCATTTGAGTATAATTAGCATGAATGCTTAGAAAAACACTAGACCGAGTTTCCTTTTGCTGAATCTTTGCTTGAGTAAAAGGCTATTTGGTAACAGGCAGTACTCAAGGGACTATCTCATCTGAGTGTCCTGATACCCCTGCTCCAATGACCAGAGATCAGATAGCCAGGTCATCAGTACTCCATTACCTGACTCCTGCCTTACTGAAGACATCACAAAAACCACTATAAGAAGTAAGACTAGCTGGTGCAGCAAGTGCAAGTGCTTGCTTGCTGTGTAAGCTTGACAACCAGGCCCAGGCCTTGAAATCCACAGTGAAAGGGGAGAACCCAAAAGTTGTCCTTTGACCTCCCTCCACATACATGCTGTGATATACATGCACCTGCTCTTGCACACACCACACACACACAATACATATATACAAAATACAGATACAAAAACAAAACACAATACATACACAGACATATATATATACACAAACATACAACACGGAGACACAGAAAGACAGCTAAGCTAAATTATAGGCTCTCCTGGGAGACTGTCAGCTGAGAAGTAAACATTTTCCTTTTTTTTTTTAAAAAAAAACTTATTTTTGCTTTATGTATATTGGCATTTTGTTTGCATGTATATCTGTGTGAGAGTGTCAGATCTTGGAGTTATGACCTGCCATGTGGGTGCCTGGAATTGAACCTGGGTTCTTTGGAAGAACAGCCAATGCTCTTATCCACTGAGCCGTACATCCAGCCCCGGTTGTTGTTGTTTTTAAAGATAGAATCTCTCTACCTCTCTATGTAGCTCTGGAACCCTCTGTGTAGACCAGGATGGCCTGGAGTGAACAGAGACGCTCCTGCCTCTGTCTCCTGAGTGCTGAGATTACAGGTGTACGCCACCAACACCCAGCTTAATTTAACATTCTTGACTTTAAAAATATTTTATTGTGGATTTGTGTGTATGTGGTGTCTGTGTGCATATGTGAGTGTAGTGAGTGTATTTGCCTATGTCTACACAGAAGTCAACATTAGGTGCCTTGTTTTATTAATTTGTGTTTATGTATGCCATGGCACACATAGGAAAGTCAGAGAAAAATTTCTGGGAATTGGTTCTCTCTACTGTGTGGATTGCCCAAAATGAAATCAATTAAGTCTTTATCAGCTAAGGCATCTCCCCAGCCCTGCCACCATTTTTTTTTTTTTTTTTTTTTTTTTTGAGACAGGGTCTTGCTGAACCTAGAGTTTATTCCACCTCCCCAGCACTTTACAGATTACAGATGCACATTACCACCCCTGGCTTTTTAATTGGGTGCTGTAGATCTGAACTCAGGTCCTTAAGCTTGATAGTGAATACTTTACTCTTTGAGCCCTCTTGACCACTTTTTAAAATACAAAGAACTATTATTGCATGTGTGTATGACGTGCGGGCACGAGTGCCATAATATGTGTGGAGGTTAGAGGACAATTTTGTGGAGACCACTCTCTGTCCACCTTTGTATGGGTTCTGGGGATTGAACTTGGGTCATCAGACTGTATAAGCAAACACTTCACCAGCTGGGCCACCTCACTAGCCTTTTTTTTTTTTTTCTTCAAGGCAGGGTTTCTCTTTGTAGACCAGGTTGTCCTACAAACTCACAGAAATCCACCTGCCTCTGCCTCCCGAGTGCTGGGACTAAAGGCGTGTGCCACCAATGCCCAGCGGTGACCTGGGTTAATCAATCACTTCAAACAAGAGCGACTCTTCTGGGGAGATGCCACCAGAGCTCCAGGCTGCAGCTTTATCCACTGTGGGTTCTTCTCTAGATAGCTTGGTCCTCATACTTTCCTTGAAATCAAAATGAACATTTTACTAAGTTGTGTTCTTAGATTCCTCTTGAAGCCAGACTGACAGGTCTCCATGGAGACTGAGGACAAGTTTTAATGCCCTTTAAAAAGAAACTACATAGCCATGGAGATGGCTCAGTGGTTAAGTAAGAGCATTTATTGTTCTTACAGAGGAATCACACTTTAGCTCCCAGTGCCTACAATGGAGGTTCACAATCACCTGTAAATTCAGCCCCAGGGGACCTGATGTCCTCCTCTAGACTTCACTAGCACCTGCACCCACAAATGCACATACCCTCATGCAACCACATGCACACAAACAAAAAGCAAGTCATTAAAAAAAAAAACCAAAAAAACCTTACCCAAGAAGCAATACCTACTGAAGCAAGAACTTGCTGGTGCGGAGACAGACACTAACATATCATGATTAAATAAGTTTTTATTGTCACATTTAACTGCTTTGTCAGATATACACTGTATATTTCAGTATGGCATAAAAATAAGAATATTTTCCTGAATGTCAAAATCTGAACAGAGGAGATGGCGATGGCACTTTAAAAAACTGGAATTCATACCGTGCTGAAGCCGATAGTAGGTAGCTGATAAAGGCTAGAACGCACTGCAGATAAAGTGACCCTCAACATTCAAATCAAACGGCAGTGGTGTAAGCCCAGCAAAACCGGGACAATTACAATGAAGACCATGGGGCACAACCAAAGCAGGGCAGTCCAGCATCTCATTTCTAAGCCTGAATCTGCTGTCTGAGACTGGGAGCTGGAGCTCATGAGTTAACACCGCTATAAAACAGAAATAAATCCTTTGGAACCAGATCTTAAGCCTTTTAACAACATCTTCATCCTTACATGTGTTAAACAGTCCAAGGAAAGGCAGTTCAGGGACAAGCATCATGGGCTGAATGACCGGCATAAATGCTGGACTTACCATCTAATCCAGTAGCCCATTATATTCTAAATTGTTTTTTAGTGGTTACACATTTTGGGCAAAACTAGAAAACAAGCAATAATTAAATAAAAACATAAGTGCATCCCAATGGTCTCCACACATTTGCAATTATCCCCCAAATGGCAACTTAAAAAAACAGGGGGAAGAGTATGGTTATTCAGACCATTGAAGCATATCTTATTCACCAAGATTCCTGGATATGTTCTTAAAAATGTCCTTCCTCCACAAATCTAGCCCTGGATCTGCATTACATCTCTTACACAGGAACTCAGATAAATTCATTGTGTCTGGGATCTGTTCACCAGACTCAGGCCTGGCATCTCACTCCTTTCTGCCATCCACTGCCGTGTGGCCTTCCTCAAAGATTCCAGAACAGAGACCAACTGTGCTGGTGCAGTGCAGCAGTTGCCGCCCTACACCGAAAGACTGACTTATGACACTGATCAGGATGAGTATTCACTGGGGATTAGTATTTCTACTTTTTTAAAAAGGCAACCATTTTAAGTGACAATATGTATCAGGCTAGTAGAAAAAAGTTGAAACAAAGCCCTCTCTCCCATCTTACAAAGTCATGCAGATAGGAGAAGGAATGTCTGACTTGTTCCAATTAGGCTTCTTGGAATTAACAAAATTTCTTTTCTGGCAAAGATAATTTGGCTCATCATAGAAAGTTCTTTGAAGGCTGCTGCTAAACTTGTTTCCCTTTGAAAAAGCAAATTTCAAGGCATGATAGTGCAGAGGTAAGTTTCCAACTTAGAGTGTTTATAGACTAATTGTGCTTAGTCTCTGATCTCCAATTTATCTTAAAGAACAAACTACACTGAGGAGTTTCATTCTGCCTAAATTTACTAGTACATCCATGAATCGCACCAGAATTAGGACAATTTGATTATCGTAATGATTCTGCTGTGAACCCATGCACTGCACCCAGAGGCAAGGACCAGCGGGCAGAGGATTCTGGGGGTTCTGTGCATGGGGTGCTCCACTCGAGAGCCACGGCATCTGAGAAACCAGTTCTCCCCACAGATTAAGTCCTCAACAAACTCTCAATAAGCCATTAAGAAAAGCAGTGCCAAGTGGAGAGAGAGTCATCTGTTTACTTAAATCTGGGAGGTCTGAGTGTTCCTGGGGTCCTCATCGGGATGTGTCACGGGCCGTGAATTCTTCGAATGTGAGTATTCGCTATGAGGGGATTCTGCAGGGTCAATCAAATTTTCATAATCACTGTCGTCTGACTCCTCCCCACTGTCTCCAGCTGCTCTTTGGGAAGGAAGAAGATCTGCTCCACTTCCAGAGAACTTCAGTCCGGCACTGGTGGAAGCATAGTTGGAAGAGCCCACAGCCTGAGGCCGAGGCATGAAGACACTCCTTTCCATGTGAGAATGGCTCAGAGTACTTTCTTGATTGTTTGGGTGGAAATCAGAATATGGGGGAGGAGGATCAGAGGGCTCTGTATCTGCTAGAGTACTTCTCCCTTCAGCTGCAAACCCAGAATAGGACATCCGAGGGCTGAATGCTGGCTCCAGATTGTCAGACGGCATCTGTCTGCTTAACAGGGCCTGCTGCAACCCTGCATGGAAACAGGAAGAATATTTTAACAAGTTCTCCATCTTCACAGCTTTTTACTTCCACTCCATTAAATGGCCAGCCTGAGTGTGTTTTGGAAATGATCAGCAAGGCTGTGAAGTGATTGTTGCTAATATTTATAAATGATTTCTCTATACATCCATTTATTTCCATATTAAGTACCAGGCCAACCATGGTTATATAGCAAGACCCTGTCTCAAAAACCAAAACCAAACAAACAAGAAAACAGTCAAAAATCCAGGCAATCTGACTAGAAGTGTAACCCCAAGATGTAAAACATAGGTTTGTCACTACAAATTATGTGCTATTCTGCCTAGCTGTTGCCCACTGTGCTCAAAAATTTGAGACTACCAGCTGACACTAAAAACCATCCTCACCACCTTTACAAGTTACACGAACATGGAACATTCCTTAGACAGTTTCCTTTAAATACAATACTGCTTTTCTTTTAATGTGTATTTGCATTTGTGTCTACCACTTGCATAAAAGTACCCAAGGAAGCCAGAGAGGGTGCTGGATCCAGTGGAACTGGAACTACAGGTAGTTGTGAGCTACTGTATATGGGGGCCGGGAACAAACTTAGTCCTTTGCAGGAGTAGCAAGATCTCTTAGCTGCTAAGCCACCTTTCCAGTCCCCCAAAATTTTAAGTGTCTCTTTTATGGGCTATAATGAACACAGGACACAATCCTGGTATGTCCAGCATGCTGCAGTTAGCTTGGTAACAACTTCACGGTTACTAGAAATAGATGATATTGTCAATACACACAAAAATCTGTACCAAATTTCTTAGATCTACTTTAACTTCTGCTTCAGCTTTTTTCTTTGGTCCTCTTGTTTTCAGTTTCAGAAACTTGAGGAATACCGTAAAAAAAGCACTTCTCATTAAATGCTTCATGACAAGGGAATGTCCTCCTTCCATCATGTGAACCCAGTATTTGCTTAGTACAGCTGAAGACATGGCTTGGTGGATAAAGAGCTTGCCTAACATGCCCAAAGCCTGGGATTCAGTCCCCACCACTACATAAAAGTGTGGTGGTATTGGTACTTGGTAGAAAAAAATCAGGAGAATCAGAAATTTGAGGTTATCTTCAGCTATAGAGAAAGTTCAAGGCCAGTCTGAGATATATGAGACCCCTCCTCACAAGCATGGGGATTAAGAGAGGTTTGTGGAATGGTCTCATGTAGTCAAGTAGCAAGACCTGTAATTCTAGCTACTTTGAGCTGGGCATGGTGGCATATGCCTTTAACCCCTGTAGAGGCAGGTGGATCTGAGTTTAAAGCTAGCCTGGTCTATAGACCAGAGTTCCAGGACAGCCAGGATTACATAGAAAAACACTTGTCTCTAAAAACAAACAAACAAAAACCCCCAAACACACAAAAAATTCTAGATACTTTGGAGACTGAGGCAGGAAGATCACAAGTTTTATGCCTGCCTTGACTATGCAAGTTCAAATCCTGTATGGACAATTTAGGAATATTGTCTCAAAAATAGAAAATAGAAAGTAGGGCCAGTGAGATTAAGGCCCTGATCTCCAAGACTTGACAATCTGAGTTCAACCCCGGGGCCCATGTTCTGGAAGAAGAGAACCAACTCTTACAACCTGACCTCCACCGGTACTCCCAACAAACAAATACAAAACCAAAAATAAACAGAAAGTCAAGCTCAGTATGACAGCGCACGACTTTAATCCCAACACTCAGCAGGTAGAGTCATGTGAATCTCATGGAAAAAACAGACCTCATCAGGCATGGGAGCAGACACCTGTAATCCTAGTACTTGGGAGGCTTTGTGGGGCAGATCTTAAGGCAGACGCCAGCCCGGTCTACATAGTGAGAAAGTGTATAAAATAAATATAAAATAGAATCAATGCAAAAAGGGGGCTGGGCCAGGAGTTGGTGGCACATGCCTTTAATCCCAGCACTCAGGAGGCAGAAGCAGGTGGATCTCTGTGAGTTAGAGTCCAGCCTGATCTACAGGGTGAGTACCAGGACAGGCTCCAAAGCAGTACAGAGAAACCATATCTCGACCCCCCACCAAAAAAAAAGGCAGCGGTGGGGGGGGGGAGTGCGCTAGATTGTAGCTCAGTGGCAAAGTATCTGCCTAGCATATGGGAAAGCCTATGTTCAGCCTTCAGGATCCCATCCCACGGAGCAAATCCATTTCTCTGATATGGAATGGTAGACTCAGTCAGAAGCTTACTTCTTTCTTGTTCCTTTTCATTTTTCTTCTGAGTGATTTGTCTTCTTAATTTGTTCACTTCTGCCTGACAAGATTCAACAACTCGCTCACTTTTTTCTACATCTGCACACACTGCCTGAGGGGATGAAAAACAAAAGAAGGTTAGCTTCAAACCAGGTAGGAGGTAATCTATAAATTCAGCCTTATTAAAATCCCAGGAAAGCCAGGTGGTGGTGGCGCATGCCTTTAATCCTAGGCAGAGGCAGGTGGATCTTTGTGAGTTAGAGGCCATCCTGGACAGGCTCCAAAGCTACTGAGAAACCCTGTCTTGAAAAAAACAAAAACAAAAATCCTCAGGAAAAATTTATTCGAGTCAGCCTTATTAAAAACCCAGCAGTTAAGAGCACTGGCTGCTACTCTTCCTGAAGACCCAGGTTCAATTCCCAGAAGGCTCACAACACCTGTAACTGTGTTCCCAAGGGATCCACACCATCTTCTAGCCTCCAAGATCACCAGGCACTGAAGTCATTCAAATTAAACACAAACTGGAATGGCAGAGCAGACTTGAGTGCCCACGAGAACAGGCTGCCTTACCCCACTCTTCTTTATGAGACAAGCCCTCCCTATGTAGCTCAGGTGTCACCCCCTGCTTTATTCCTTTGAGAAAGTGTCTCTCCCTAACATGGTGCTACTGAGCTTTTCTGGCTAGACTGGAAGCTAGGAAGCTAGTAATCCTGTCTCTGCCCACTCAGTTTGAGGGTTCTAGGCTTGCACAGGACCATGTCGTCCAACATATTACATGGGATCTGCACTCTAGTCCTCACACTTGAACAACAGGCACTCTCTAACCACTGAGCCACTTCTCCAGCTTTTTTTTTAAAGGCTGTGTCCTAAAAGCTATTTTAATCAACACAATGAGGAGTCAGTTTCAGTCATCTTAAAAAAATTATTATCATTAGGGGGTTAGAGAGATGGTTCAGTGGTTAAAAGCAGGATTGCTCTTGCAGAGGATTTGAGTTTGGTTCCTGGCACTCATGGTGACTCATAACTGCCTATAACCTGAGCTCAATGGAATTCTCTGGACTCTGCGGACACTTGCATTCACATGCACATATCCACACATACTCAATAAGTTAAAAAATTAATAAGTGCATAGTGTGTGTGCGCATGTGCCTGCACCATGACCACATGTTGTGGAGGTCAGAGGGAAACTTTACGGAGTCAGTTCTCTTTGTCACTTTTAAGAGTGTTCCAGGGAGTTTCTCATTGGCCTGGAGTTCACTGAGTATGTTATACTGGTTGGTCAAGTAGCCTCAGGGATTCTCCTGTCTCTGCCTCTCTGATGTTGTATGTCACCACACCCAACGTTTCTATGATTTATTTTTTATTTATGTGTATGTATGTGCTTGTGTGGGTGCCCTGGAAGTCAGAAGAGGGTGTTGAATCTCCTGGAGCTGGAGTTACAGCAGCTGTAAGCCACCAGAAAAGATGCTGTGGATTAAACACTGGTCCCCTGCAAGAGCACCATGTGCTCTGAAATGCTGACCCATCTCTCCAGCCCATGCTCAAGTTTTTTATGCAGGTTTTGTGGAACAACTCAGGTCTTCATGGCTATACAGCAAGCACTTTACTGACTGAGCCATCTCTCCAGCCCCATTGGACTGTTATTTATCACTGACTTGCTTTCTTAATTTTAATCATTTAAAGATGATGATTGTGCAGTTTAGCTTAGAAGTCTTTTAAAAAGTCTAGGATGGGAAAAATAGAATTTCTTCCCTTGCTTAATCAATTTTATTGGAACAAAAAGAGAAACAGGATAAGATAGGCTGAAGAGATGGCTAGGAGGTTAAGATCACAGGCTGTTCTTCCAAAGGATTGGAGTTTGATACCCAGCATTCACATGGTGGCTGACAACCACCTATAACTCAAGCTCCAGGGGATCTGATGCCCTTTTCTGGTCTTGAAGGGCACTGCATGCATATGGCACACATCTATACAGACAGGCAAAATATCCATATACATAAAAATAAAAAATTAAAAAGTGCGTAAGACAGATTTATTTAACTAAAAATAATTATGATAAGGAAATCTAGAAAAGAAAGTTTCAGAGTTGAGGTTTGTTGTCTGTAATTCAGCTACTAACAATCACTGAGAGCTGACCTTTAATCAGGAAGGGAATGTGTGATACCATTAGAAGTCATTTGGTTAGTGCTAATGGTCTCAAAGGCCCTGGTCATGATTTTAGACAAAGCTTTTTTTTCACTGCACAATCCTCCCATAGCAGAAATACCAGAAACTTCCAGAAAGCCAGTCTAGCACCAGTGAGCATGAATGGTGCTCCCTCCACTTCCAAGTATACAATGAACATAGGCCCTGGAAACTGCTTTGTCCTCTCACCAAGGCTTTCCCCCATTTTAGATGCTGCCTCCACTCTTCCCTCTACTCTCTGGGGTCTTTCCCAGACCTCTGAGAGTTGCAACTTGGCCACTTTTCTTCTAGTTCTCAAATGTAAGTGCAGTGGGAATCACTGTCAGCATGTAGCTGGCAGTTGGAGGTGATGCTGTAAATATTTGTTGCATGAATAACTAAGAAGAAACAGATTCCACTGCAATCCTCCTACTCCACAATGGCAGCTGGGGGTGTGGGGAGGCAGGCAGAGCTAGACCAGGGCGTAGGCTTTTGACATTGTCCCCCTTAAGAATATAACTGACAGAGACAACTGTGTTCTTAGCACCCCTCTTTAAACTCAATTTTGAAGATGCACTTACCATAAAAAGCACAACTGAAAAGGGGTCATAAGTGTTCTAAGAAGCAGCATTAATAAATTACTTCAGGGCCTCTACCTCAGCACATGAGGCAGGATTTGTTGATTGACATCAGATATTATCTTCACAAAATCCATTCTGACTTTTTAAGAAATTTCATATGCACATTTGTTTATCTGTGTGAGGGTGCTGGATCCCCTGGAGCTGGAGCCACAGACTCCAGTTATGAGCTGCCTTGTGGATGTTGGGAGCAGAAGCTGAGTCCTCTGAAAGAGCAGTCGGTGCTCTTAACCGCTTAGCCATTTCTCCAGATATCCATTATGATTTTTGAACCACAGCTATTCATTTGCCAATTAAAAGATATATATTTAAAAAACAAAAAAGTAGGATTTGAGCAATATAAAAAAAGATGGAAAGACCAGTTACCTGTACTTTCTCCTGAAGTGCATTATAAACCTGATAAATTGCCCTGATGTCCTTCATGACTCCATCCTTGTCAAAAAAGTCAGTACTAGAGGACAGAAAAAAGATGTCAGAATATTAAAATCACCATGAACACGAGGAGGCATTTTTGTTAACAGTTCTACCTCACAGTATCAATTACATGCTGTGACTCAAAGATGACAACATCTAACAAGAATATGCTAATAGAAGAGAAATAAAAAATACATCACCAATTAAAAAAGGACATTTCCTAGTAACTATGTTTATCTCTCTTTTTTATTATTTTTATTTTTAGATAGAATCTTTCTATGTAGCCCTGGCTGGTCTGAAACTTGCTATGAAGTCCTGGTTGGCTTGGAACTAAAAAACCCCCACTGCCTCTGCCTCCTAAGTACTGGGATTAAAGGTGTATACAACTAACCACATCTGGCTGTTTTTTTTTTTTTTTTTTTTAAACCTGAGGAAAGCAGCTGGAGAGATGACTCAGAGGTTACAAGCACTCACTGCTCTTGCAGAGGACCTAGGCTCAGTTCCCAGTTTGCATACCACAAACCAGAGCACCCATAACTTTAGTTCAGAGGATCCAATGCTCTCTTCTGGTTTCCTCAGGCACTGCACACACAGTGCACATATAGACATCCAGGAAAACATTCACATACATAATTTTTTTTTTAATCTTTAAAAAAAATGCAATCTGAGAGAAAACACAGTAAAATTATCTCAATAAGAATAAAAAGAAAAACTTTCAGGAATTACTTATTTTTTTTGTGTGTGTGAAGGTGTACATGCATGATTGTTCATGTGCATGTAAAAGTGTGCTTCAATGTGCATGCTTCTGTTGGGGCCAAAGCCACTGTCAGGTGTCCTCCTATTTCTCTCCACCTTATTGTTTGAGACGGTCTCTCACAGAACCTGGGATTTGTAATTTTGGATGTTTTGCTGACTGATCAGTAAGTTCCAAGCACCTGCCTATTTCTGTGATCCGAGTGCTGAAGTCATAAATGTGCTCTGCTCAGCTCAGCTTTTTATTTTTAATTAATTAATTTGTCTTATGTGTAGGAATGTTTTATTTGCATGCATGTCTATGAACCATATGTATGCTTGGTATCTGTAGGATCCAAAAGTGGGCAATGGATCCCGTAGGACTGGAGTTACAATGGTTATGAGCCATTATGGGGGTGCTGGGAATAAAACTCAGGTTTTCTACAAGAGCAACCATTGTTCTTAATTGCTGAGTCATCTCTCTCTTGCCTCCTACCTAGCATTTTTACATGAGAATACAAATTCAGGTGTCATTCTTGCACAGCAAATACTTACTCACCCCTGAACTATCTCTCCAGTCTAAGTTGTCTAGATATATTTTTATCTTTTTGAAACAGGGTCTTACTATGCAGCCCTGGCTATCCTGGAATGGAACAGAAATCCACTGCCTCTGCTTCCTGGGAACTGGGATTAGAAATATGTGCTACCATTCGCTGCAGAGTAGGCTTGTTTTGTTGTTGTTGTTGGTTTTTTTTTTTTTTTTTTGAGGAAGGGTCTTACTCTGTAAGCTGGCCTTGAACTTATGACCATCTCCTACTTCAGCCTCTCAAGTGCTGGGATTGCAAGTGTGAGCTACCATACTCAGCTTCAGGGATCATTTCTTCTGTCTTTTTTTTTCCAAGACAGGGTTTTGGTTTTTTTTTTGTATATAGCCCTGGCTGTCTTGGAACTAACTCTGTAGACCAGGCTGGCCTTGAACTCACAGAGATCCACCTGTCTCTGCCTCCTAAGTGCCAGGATTAAAGATGTGTGCCACCACCACTCAGTTATAGGGATCATTTCAATAGTTTATTAAGAACGAATTTGGATATGTGTGATGATACTGGTAGTGGTCTGTTTTCTTTAATTTCAGCTAAAATACACTTGATTTTACATTTCTCCTTACACTTTAAAAATATTAATAAAGAACATACTGTAAGAACTCATTTCACCTTTCAACTTACCCATGCTCTTTAATAACTTTGGCATAACTCTGAGAAGTGTTTGGCACTGAAGACACTTTGTACTCTTGTTGGCTAGTATTGCCTAGATTGGGGATACCAAGTGATATCCTTTGATTATACCTGTGGGGAGAATTGAGAAAAACAGCACATAATAAGTACATCTATTTGTTTGTCTGAGGCAGGGTCTCACTATGTAGCCTAAGCTAGCTTCAATTGTTCATTCTGCCTGCTTCAGCCTCCCATGTGCTGGGATTACAGACATATGCCACCGTACTTTGGCTCTACTGCTACATTGCCTAGCTAAGTGTTGAATTCATGGGCTCAAACACTCTGCTCACCTCACTACCTCATTGCTGGGTTTACGGTATTTGTCACCATTCCCAGTTTTAAAAGCATTCATTTAAGAATTGGGATTAACAGGTCTGATTTCCAATACCCACATGATGGCTCACTATTGTCCGTAACTCCATTTCCAGGGGATCCAACACCCTCTTCTGGCCTCTGCCAGCATCAGCCATGCATTCTATGTACATAGTGGTGGCGTACGCCTTTAATCCCCAGCACTCAGGAGGCAGAGGCAGGCAGATCTCTGTGAGTTTGAGGCCAACCTGGTCTACAGAGTGAGTTCCAAGACAGCCAAGGCTACATAGAGAAACCCTGTCTTGAAATACAAAAACAAAAACCCAAAACAAACAAAACAAAACGTAAAGGATTGGGACTGAAGGCTGTGGATGTGGCTCAGCTAGCAGAGTACTTGCCATGAGTGCCCAAAGCTCTGGGCTCAATACGCAACACCACATGAACCAGGTGTGGTGGCACACATCTGTAATCTTTGTATTCCTTAGGTAGAGGCAGGAGGAGGAGAAGTTCGAGGTCATTCTCAGCTATGCGGGCTAATTCTGAGCTACAGGGTGAGTACCAGGTCTGTCAGGGATCCAGCCACAGGGAGGCCCTGTCTCAAAAAATCAAACAGCAAATTGGGGAAGATCATCACAAGTTAAAGGCTGACCTGGTCTACATAGCAAATTCCAGGTCATCTGAACTACAGGGCAAGACCCTGCCTCAAAAACAAAAAACAAAACAAAAGGGTAAGGTTGACGGCAGGTTTCTGTCAATAAATATTTCACTGAGGGCTGGAGTGTTGGCTCAGCGGTTAAGAGCACTGGCTGCTCTTCCAGAGGACCTGAGTTCAATTGCCAGCACCCACATGGCAACTCACAACTGTAACTCCAGTCCCAAGGGATCTGACATCTTCACACCAATGCACATAAAAATAAAAAAGAAATATTTAAGAAAAATAACTATTTCACTGATTTTGACTACTGATCCTACGAGCACATTTCCAGAAGGAAAACTTTCTGCAACTCACAAGCAGCAAATATGGTCACATAATGTTGGTTTTGCTCTTTATCAAGGTCACAGAGCAAAACCCTCATCATTAATAATGGATCATTTTTACAATTTCTGTCTTTGCATTGTGTGTTCTAAAGATTAAATTACAAACAGTAGCAAAACTCTATTTTTGCATAATGGGTCATGAAGAAACAAATGAAGTTTCTACCTGTAAGAATACAAACATGTCTAAATGATGCTTATTGATCCCCAAACTATTTTAATTCATTTAATTGGTAAGCAAGCCCCTGGGGACCCACTTGTTTCTGCCCACTGAGTGTTGGGGTAACAGATGAAGGCTGCCATGCCCAATTTTTACACAGGTGCTCTGCTCCGGAGCCAGACTCAGGTCCTCACACTTGCTTTACCCCCTGAAGCCCAGCATCTTTCTTTTTATGCACAGCTGGTGGGAAGCTTTCTTTACCTTCGATTTGGCCTAAATAGAACATATTCTAAAGCATGAGTAGAATTGTTGGCGGTAGAGATGAAGCTGAAGAGAAGGAAGACAAGGTCTGGCACACCGAGGATACGGGTGAGCTGCTTGTGGATAACCTGCTCTCTGTAGGACATCTGTTGTTGGGTGTTCCGACGGAATCTGTACCACCCGATAACTTTCTGCAATAAGAACAGAAGAAAGTATTAAGAGCTTATTTAATTCAGAACACATCCAAACACAAACACCAGTAAACAAATGTTATGGCCACTTTATGTTGGCTAGGCCAGAACTAAAACAACCATCTGTGAACAAGTGAATGGATAAACTGGGTCAACTGTGGTACAATGGGATCATATACCGTAATAAAAAGGGAACAAATCAGCATGGAGGAATCTCAAATAAGTATGCAAGGGTGTGGAGAGTATATGCTAAAGGATTTTTATTAGTATAAAAGTCTAGAAAATGAATCTGTAGTGACATATGGCATAGCTTCTTACACTATGTCATGACCTCATATGGGGCCACATAACTGAATGTGAGGTTAAAAAAAATTGGTAATAGTAAAAAGTTTCTGAATGTGAAATGACCATAAATTAATTCAAATCAAATAGGGCTGAAAAGATGGCTCAAACAGGTAAAGGTGCTTGGCCCCTAGGCTGCTAACCTGAGTTTGATACCTAGAACCTACATGGTGGAAGAAAAAGAGTGACTCATGTGAGTTACCCTCTGACCTCTACTTCTGTGATACGGCACAAAATGACTGCACAATGAGTGTGTACACACACAGGGACACAAACACTCACATACATGATAGATCTGAGATGTCTGTGGCAGCACTCTTGAATGCTGCACTGCAAGGTTTTACCTCAGCCTGGCTTCTGAACACATCACAGGCAGGCACTGCACGCACGCACGCACGCGCGCGCACGCGCACACACACACACACACACACACACACACACACAGAGGCAGGCACTGCACACACACACAGAGCACAGGCAGGCACTGCACACACACACACACACACACACACACACACACACACACACACAGCACAGGCAGGCACTGTACACACACACACACACACACACACACACACACACACACACACACACACACACACAAACACAGCACACACACACACACACACACACACAGAGCACAGGCAGGCACTGCACTGCAATGAACTCAGTACAAGTACTGCATATGCAGCACGCCACACCAGCAGACGCTGCCAGAAGCACCAGACTGGCGCTTCTCCTGAACTGCATAGACAAAGCTTGTAGTTCTGGTAAAAACATAATGGTTTAGTTATGGAAAACAAAACAACATTTTCTATCATCATCCTTCAATGCCTAAATATCAAATTTGTGTATCTTTGAATTGAGCTGTATTAGAATGTTGTTTTTTAATTGCTGACTTGGGCTTTAAAAAAAATCAGTGAATGAATTTGGCTTCGATTAAGACAGAATTTTCAATAATATTTGTAATTTTATGTAATGATATTTTTTCACATAGTCATGTGAAGCTGCTTTTCCAGCCTTAAGGACTATAAAACCTAAGTATTGATCAATTTGAAATATATTGAAGATTCCTATGCTCCACAGTATTAAATGTCTAGCAAAAGTTTAATTCTTTATGTAAAAATAAATAAGGACATCATCTCAGTAGGAAGCATTGTCACTAAATAATAAAATTATATGTATACCAATGAATTGTCTTAAAATCAGTTTCTTTGTGAGCTATTACCAGTAAATGTCTGATCTGTACATCCAGGGTCATGCAAAAATTTTAACAAGAAGGGTTTGTAAATGGAAAATTCAAGAAGTCCTGACAAAAGCAGTGGTTCAGAGGCTGACACAGACAGGGAAGGGAGGTGTTTGGAGGAAATGGTAGACAGGTTTGCAGGTGATGAGGATGTGCATTATCAGGTTAAAAGTCACAGGTCAAGTGTGTGCACAAGGATTAAACAGATGAAAGCACACATTAATTGCATTTTGTCACGCACAGCCCACTGTACAGCCTGGGTTTAAAGGTTAGTATTATTAGCCCTGCCTATAGCACAGCCATGCCAGCTGGTGAACTAGACTCAGAATATGCCTCATAATGTGGCCTGCTGGACACACAAGAACATCTCTAATAAGAATCTCAGCTATTCAAATTACTAAGTGTAAAGAATGCTAGAAGTATGTTAAAATACTGTAATTTTAAGACCTGGTGTTAGTGTTCAGGCATCTGTATTGGCCTGTCCTGGGGGTTCTGACAGGATATGCCCTCAGCTGCAGTCACTAAGAGCTCCCTTTTAAAAGGGCCCTGCCCACCTCCCGTCTTTCTCTCTCTGCTTCTCTGCCTGTTTCTCTGTCTCTCCTTCTCTCTCTCTCTGTCTCCTTCTTCTTTCCTGCTGCTTCTGTCCCCAGAGGCCAGTTTCCCTTCTCTGCCAAGCTCTGTCGAATGGTATCTTTCTCTCTCAAACCACTTTTTAAAATGACAACACCTGAGAATACTGATTTATTGTCCCCCGAATCTCAATAGTAACATGTCAGGAATTTAAAAATATCTAGAAATTTGTTTGTTTTTCATTTCATGTTATAATTCTAAATTATACAATTGTTGGTGAATAAACAAACTTTGTTTTATAATAATAATGATAATGATAATAATAATAATAAAAGCATGTGAGGCTGGGCAGCAGACCCCTTTAATTGAAAGCCAAAGGCAGATGGATCTCTGAGTTCAGGCCAGCCTGGTCTACAGAGTGAGTTCCAGGACAGCCTGGACTACACAGAGAAACCCTGTCCCAACCCCCCCCCCCCACCAAAAAAGCATGTGCACACTTATACACACAGCCATAAACAAAGATAAATTCAATGATCAAATACTTTTAGCTTTCATTAGATCTATTGTTTGTTAATTTTAGCCTTGTTCTTTTTTAAATATACTATTAATATTTCTCTGAGAATTTCATACTTGTGTGTATGATCACATTCACCCCCCACTCCTCACTCTAACTCCTCTTAGATCCACTGTTTGTTAACTATAAAGTTATTCTATTTGTCTATTTCCTTTATAGCATTAAGCAATCCTTAACACAAAAATCCATACTTTAAAAAACAAAAAGGGTAATTTGACATTCGCTGACAGTTTTTTTTTTTCCCCAAGACAGGATTTCTCTGTGTGTAGTCCTGGCTGTCCTGGACCTCCCTTTGTAGACCAGATTGGCTTTGAACTCACTGAGATCCACCTGCTTCTGCCTCCCCAAGTGCTGGGATTAAAGGCGTGTGCCATGACCGCCAGGCTTGCTAACAGTTTTAAACCAAATTCTCTTATCATTCTAAAGAGTGAAGGTGAAGATGCCAAATTCATACTGATGATATTTACAATTCCGTATTTTTGAGTTAGTAGACAAGGTAGTTTCAAGCTCAATGAGAATCTAGGTCACCAGTACTAAAAAGGACATTTTGGATGGATGCATCTACTAGAATCAAGAATTAGGGACCTCTCTCCCTAAACTTTGTAACATTTCACAGTTGAGTTTTCACAGGCTTTCTCCTCATGCCTCAGTATTCACTGACATTTGGGCACACTGACCAACTTTCTCTTGGTCCTTACACTGCTACCGAGAAGTTGTTGTGCCTGTTACTATCTGTTTCATAAAGGATGCTTTGATTTCAGAAGATACAAAATCTCACCCACATGCTTGTCTTGACCTAAAACTGAGGTCTGTGGAAACTTTGTAAGCACAGTATGTATTCTGCTAGAACTGTATACTAAAGATTTTTAAAAGTATACATGTGGTGCTTCTGTATGTGGGAGCATAGTGTACAAGTGCATGTGCACAGATGCATATATATGATTCCATGTATCTTTCTATACTGAAGTGTGATCTCTCACTGGACCAGAAACCCTAGTCTAACTAGCCAACTTGCTCTGTCTTTACTTTCCAACTGGAATTACAAGTAGCTGCTTACTCCCAACCTACTCTGTGTGTGTGTTAAGATTTATTATTTTTTAAACATTTAGTTTATTTTATATGTATCTGAGTGTTTGCCTGCATTTATCTATGTGTATCATGTGTGTTATAGTACTCAAAGAAGCCAGAAGAGAGCAATGAATCATCTGGAACTATAATTACAGACAGTTGTGAGCTACCATGGGAACCAAATCCAGTTCCTCTGGGAAGAGCAGCTAAGCAATACTTTTAATTGTGGAGCTATTTTTCCAGTCCTTGCTATTATTATTTTATTTTCAAGGCAGGTTTTTGTTTCTCTGTGTTGCTCTGGCTATCCTGGAGCTCGTTCTTTAGGCCAGGCTGGCCTCTAACTCCCTTAAAATTTTTTAGTGAGTATTTTGCCTGTGCAAAATGTTAAGTGTACCACATGTGTGCAGAGCCAGTGGAGGCCAGATGAGAGCATCAGATTCCCAGAACTAGAATTACAAATTGTGAGTTATCATTGTGGGTGCTGGAAAACAAACCCCAGTCCTCAGCAAAAGCCATCTCTCTAGTATACCATTCAGCTTGTATGCAGGCTCTGGGAACCTGTCCTTACACTTGCAAGGCATGTCCTTTATCCACTGAACCTTCTCCCTGCCCAATATGAGAATTTTGTAGTAAACAAAACAAAATCTCACATTAGTTCTATTCTCAACTGTAACATTTTAAGTGCTTCTCTGTAGGTAGCACACTCTTTTGAGGTGAAGGTTTAGTTTCATGCCTTTCCTGGGTGGAGGTGGACCCAAATAAGAATAAACTATAAAGCCTTTTTTGTCATCTAAAACTTATATATCATCTCCACTTTTGAAAAAATATCTTAGCCAGGTGGTGATGGCACATGCCTTTGTAGGTAAAGGCAGAGGCAGGTGATCTCTGAGTTTGAGGCCAGCCTGGTCTACAGAGCGAGTTCCAGGGCAGCAAGGGCTACACAGAGAAACCCTGTATTGAAAGATCAAAGCAAGAAGAAAAAGAAAGAATGAAAAATATTTACAAAGTTCCAACAAGATGATTTTCTGTGCATTAGAACCCTTTACTCAAACTATATCAAGCTACATAGAACACTGTTTTCTTCTGGAACTACTTCAGTAGTAGGATGGTAGAATGCATGAGGCTCACATTTAATTTTACACTCAAAAAACAAGGTAAAGCCACCAAACTTGAGAACCTGAGTTTGATTCCTAGAACCTACATGATCAGCTCTTACAAGTTGTCCTCTGGCCTTATGCACCACATTTGCTGTGGTACATAAGTATGTATGCATGTCGTGTGTGTGCATATACTCATGCAAAAAAAATAATAAAACACACACAAACACAAACCTCCTACTCTTTTCACTTCATATAAGTTAGAGATCTGAAGACCTCCTGTTTTCTTTTTTCTTAAAATATTATATTTTTTTGTATGGGTGCTTTGCCTGCATGTATGTTTGTGCATGCACCATGTGTGTGTCTGGTGCCCTCAGAGGCCAATGGATTCCCTGGAACTGGAACTCAAGTTATAAGTAGTTGTGAACCATTATGTGTATGCTAGGAATAGAACCCAGGTCTTCTACAAGAGCAGCCACTGCTCTTGATTGCTAAGCCATCTCTCCAGTTCCTCCTCCATTCTTTTTAATGGCTGCTTCAAGTTCCATAGTATGATATATGAATGTAATCAACTTGATCTAATAATTCCCTGCCAATGAATGTATAGATAGCTTTTAAAAGAGTGAAACAACAAAATTCCTTGTACATGGATCAAGACAGTAGACTTTGGTATAAGCCTTTGTTCAATCATTAATCAACAGAGTCTTAAGCAAATTTCTTGAGTAGTTTAAAGAGTCAAATGAGTGATTTGTCTCACAGGCTGCAGCAGGAGTATGTCAATACATGGCAAAGGCCTGGCAGAGTTACATGTTCAGTAATTCCAGATGTGAGTATAATTATTTTCTCCGGTCACATTTCTAAAGCCAGGGCTATCTACTTAAAACTTACTATAAACACTCTTCTTGGGAGTAGGGAAGTAGCTTAGCTGGTAAAAAGCTTATCTAGCATGCACCAAACACTGGGTTAGAGCCTCAGAATGACACAAGAGAGGTGTTGTGGCTCATGCCTGTATTCCCAGCACTAGAATGACACAGGAAGACTGAAGTTTAGCATTAGCTACACACCAAGTTCAAACCCAGCTTGGACTATTGAAGGCCCTGTCTCAAAAAACAAACAAAATCTGCCTGCCAAATGCTTGCATTAATTTCCATTCACCAACCACTCCCTCCTCATTCCTGCCATGTTGTCAGAGCTGAGTCTTCTAATCTTGTGCCTATGTGATGGGCCAAACGTGGCACATCTTCATTTAAATTTGTGGTTTTGGTTGAGGCAGAATTCCTTTCCTGTGTGTCTTGGTTGTTATTACAGACTTCTTTTTACATCTAATAACTTGCCTATTCTTTTTATTTTTTCTTTCTTCCCTCCTTTAAAACTTTTTTTGTGTGTGTGGAGGACTGGTGAGATGGCACATAGTGCAAGCCTTGAATCCCCAACCCTGGAACCTACGTGTGGTGGTTTAAATGACATGTCCCCCATAGGTCTATTACACTTGAATACTTAGCCCCTAGTTGTTGGTGCTGTTTGGGGAGGCTTAGTGGGTATATGGCCTTGCTGAAGGAAGTGTGTCACTGGGGGCTTTGAAGTTTCAAAAGCCACATGACACTCCCATTCTATCTGTTTCCTGTTTGAGTCTAAGATGTGAGTTCTCAGCTGTCTCAGTTTCCATGCCTGCCTGCTGCCATGCTGTCCAGCCATCACAGACTCTGACCCTCTGGAACCATAAGCCCAAAATAAGCCCTTCTATAAGTTGGCTTGGTCATGGTGTTTTGTCACAGCCATACAAAAGTAACTAATATACTACATAAAGGTGGAACGTGAAAACTGACTCCACAAAGTTGTCTTCTGACCTCCACATTGTAAAGTTTTATCTTTTGTTTTTCAAGACAGGGTTTCTCTGTGGCTTTGGAGGCTGTCCTGGAACTAGCTCTTGTAGACCAGGCTGGTCTCGAACTCACAGAGATCCTCCTGTCTCTGCCTCCCAAGTGCTGGGATCAAAGGCATGCGCCACCACCACCAGGCTGTAAAGTTTTAAAACATGTTGAGTGTCCTTATGTGTGCAGGTACCTTCACTGATGCATGCATGTGGGAGGCATCTCTGTGTCTGGTTTTTCTGTGGGCACAGGGATCTAAATTCAGGCTCTCATGTTTGTATGCCAAGCACATTAACCCACTGAAATGGGTTAATAATTAAGACAGAGCTAGCCAATAAGAAAGCCTAGCCATCAGCCAACAGTTTAATAATATAGCATCTGTGTGTTTATTTGGGGCAAAGTGGCTGTGGGACCAAGCAGGACAGAAACCTCCATCTTCAGTAAGCCATGAAGAGTAAGCCAAGAATCAGCCAGCAGTCCTCCATGACCTCTGTATCAGTTTCTGTCTCTAGGTCCCTGATTTCTCTAGATAATGGACTACAAGCTGTAAGATGAAATAGACCCTTATTTTGGTCCTGGTATTTTATCACAGCAATAAAAACCCCAACTAAGCAGTTGGCATGTGGGTGCTGGGAATGGAACTCAGGTCCTCTGCAAGAGTAAATGTGTTCTTAATCACTGAGCCATATCTTCACCCGTTATTTGCTTTTTTTAAAACTGATGTATAAGTCTGTGTGTGCCTTACATGTGCAGATGCCATTGGAGGCCAGAAGAGAACATCAGATACCCCGAGGCAGAAGTTACAGGCAGTTGTGAGTTTTCCAACATAGGTGCTAGGAACTGACTATGGGACCTGTGGAAGAGCAGCAAGCACTCTTGGCCACTGAACCATCTCTCCAGTCCCTACATTTTTGGGGTGGCAGATGTTACTGTTTCAGACAGGTTGTCAAGAAGCCCAGGCTGGCCTTCAATGTAGCCAATGATGACCTTCAACTCTTGATTCTGCAATCTCTACTTTTCAAGTTCTGGGATTATAGGCATAAGCCACCATGTCCAGCATAATTTACATTTTCCAGGATTATTGTTGTGACTATAATATTAGTGTATCTTTATGAGGTATCACTGAAGCTGAGGAGCTATAGCAACTGAAGGCAGCTAAAGAAGCAGAAGCCATTTTTCTTTGAGTGAGTGGACACTCGTAGATTACTCATGTACATCTAGGCAGAATGAACTGGACTTAGTGAGTTTAAAAAAAAAAAAAACAAAAAAAAAAACAAACAAAGAGCAATCCTAGCACTCAGGAGGCAGAAGCATGTGGACCTCTTGAGTTCTAGGCCAGCCTGTGATGGGGGATATCTTTCTGAATGCTGTGAATATATGTTTCTCATATTGGTTGATGAATAAAGCTGTTTCGGCCAATGGACAGGCAGGATGTAGCCAGGAAGGAAGTATAGGAGGGGCTACCAGACTAGGAGGATGTTTTGAAGAGGTACACAGTCATGAGTAAGACACCATGTAGCTACAGAGGGAGCAAGAGGTCTGGGCATCACCTGTAAGCCAAAACTACATGGAAAAATACAGACTGATAGAAATGGGTTAATAATTAAGAGAGAGTTAGCCAGTAAGAAGCCTGAGCCATCGGCCAAACAGTTTATAATTAATACAAGCCTCTGTGTATTTATTTGGGACGAAATGGCAGTGGGATTGGGCAGGACAAAAACTTCTGTATACACGTCTGTTCTACAGAGCAAGTTCCAGGACAGCCAAGGCTACACAGAGAAAACCTGTCTCAAAAAGCCAAAGCCAAAAGAAAACAAACAAGAAACAAAAATAGGACATGAAGATAAAATGGACAAATGTTAGGGAGAGGTCTAAGAGGGAACAGGGGAGGCTGGAGGTAGATATGATCAAGACACACACTAAACATGTATGAAATTGTTGAGTAAGTTTAAAATGTTTTTAAAACTAAAAAAAAAATCTACAAAATTACTTTTCAAATTATAAACTAAAAAGAATGAACCATCCAGTGTCATCTGGACTACTGTTAATTTTCTGTATTAAAGTTTTTTTTTTTTTTTTTTTTTTTTTTTTTTTTTTTTTAAATTTTTTTTTTTTTTTTTTTTTTTTTTGTTGATTTTAGACAGGGTTTCTGTGTCTTGGCTACTCTGGAACTCAAGTCTGTAGACCAGGCTGGCCTTGAGCTTACAGAGATTTGCCTGCCTCTGCCTCCTGAGAGCTGGATCAAAGGTGTGTCCCACCACTACCAGGTTTAAAGCCAATTTTTTTTCTTACAAATTTTACAGAAATGAAATCACATTATACTTACCCCACCACACACACACACTCACTGATAATAGTGTAATGTTTCAAATCTGTAATTTGTCTTTAAAATCTACTTACGGGATCAGACATGTAGCTCAGTGGCAGAGTACTTGCCTGTTATGCCCAAAGCCCTGAGTTTGATTTCCAGCACAAAGAGAAAACCTTTAATACACACTGGTTATCATGAGTTCTTGCTGTTCTTCCTTTTTTGTGCTACTGTATCAGGCAATATATGAAACATACCTTCCTCCGATCTTTAAGGATTCTGTCCAAACTCTCTTCGTTCACTTTGCTTGCATAATCATAAAAACTGTTTTTTTAAAGAAGAAAAAAAAATAATTAAAATGCTATAGTACTGTGACATAGACATAACCACAGGGGCCTACAAAACATCTAACTCTAATAGATGAAACTGCTTCTTCTCAAAGGTTGGTAAACAGAAATCAGCTTAAGTGCTTTCTTGATAGCAAGCTACATTTTGTATCAAATACTACTAAAGAGATTGCTACATTCAAAAGACATTCCTTCCATGTGTGGGAAGTAATCAAGTAATTACAAAATGTGTGGTTTCAAATGGCTCCACTACTTTGTTTCTAAGTATCAATTACTTATGAAAAAAAAAAAAGAGAACAGCAACCCATTTTCTGAGAAATGAACGTTTCTGGAATGTTTAACAGACCTCCCACTGGATGCTTTATCATTACATATTCTAGCCACAGTTCTGAGGTATGAGTTCATCCCCAATTTAATAAGGTTTTCTGCTATTTTTATATAATAAAGAGACAGAAAAGCTAACCAACTGGTCCAAACTGCAGAGCTAGTGGGACAGACCGATTGAACTGGAAACTAGTATGGGTAGCTTCAAATGAGACCAATCAGATGTACTGACATGAGGGCCCTTGTGCCTAGTTATGGTCTTAGAAATGCCATCCTCCTCCACCACACACCCAGGTCCCAAAGGCAGGAAGGTTTTCACAGGATGTAGGGAAAGAACTGTCTCGGAGATCAGGAGACAGCAGCTCTAGCTGTACTTCTCACTTCAAGATCTGAGACAGACTACTTACCCTACATGCTCTTCTCTCCTCCTGCTTTGCAAAGTAAGAAGCTTGATTTCTAAGAGATGATTTCTAAGATTTCCTTCAGTTCTAAGCAGGAGTCAAATCCCGGTTCTGAAAGTTCTGTTCCAGCAATGATTTGTGAAATTACTCAGGAGGGAGAGACAGAGCATGTCCAGTGAAGTTCTGACAGTCAGGCCAGAATATATTCACAGCCAGGCAGAGGTAATGTGTGGACCAAACCTAATCATCTTTCCAGATGAACCCATAGCTGCTCACCTGGTATCCCTGTTCCTCTTTCAGTTAAATAGAAATGGCTACTTCTGGCTTCATGTAAATACAGTCACTTTGCTTAATGATAATCTCTGAAATAACTAAGGAATAAGGGTATATGTGCAGGGTGAAGGACGATAGAAGTCCCCAGGCATGGGTGCTTGTAGAGGGGTCAGGGTGAAGACAGAAGGGGACGAACAACAGAAAGAACCAGACAAAGTGACTTAGAAGGGATGAAGGAAGGACATGAATATTAAGAACACGGAAGAAAAAATGGGCATAGTTGGCACAAATCTTTAATCTGAGAGCTTGGGAGGCAGAGGCAGGGGGATCTCGGTGACTTGAAACTAACTTGGTCTACAGCTAAATCTACGTCAGGTAGGGCTACATAATAAGATCCTGTCTCGGGGCTGGAGAGATGGCTCAGCGGTTAAGAGCACCAACTGCTCTTCCAGAGGTCCTGAGTTCAATTCCCAGCAACCACATGGTGGCTCACAACCATCTGTTATGAGATCTGTGCCCTCTTCTGGTGTGCAGATATACATGGAAGCAAAATGTTGTATACATAATAAATAAATCTTAAAAAAAAAAAAAAAAGACCCTGTCTCAAATAACAAGCAATGTTTATGTGGGCTCACTGGAAGAAAAGCACTGGTCTGCCTTTAGGGGAGAGAAGGGGAAGATGCAGAGCCCAGGGAGTTTTCTGAAATACACATACCAGTCCTCAGATGGAAGGGTATGGGTTAAGAAAGAAGACTAACAACTGGGGGGTGTAGCTCCATTTTAGAGGGCTTGCTTAGCATGTGCAAGACCTCCATTCACCCAGCCACACTGCCAGAGAGGCGAGTGTTGGTTTGGGAGCATCCACTTTTCCCTGCAGATGTCACTCTCCTATTGCTTTTTTCCTTCAGAATGACTCTCTTCCATTAAGTTCTGTCCTTCAGTGGCCATATGACAGAAAGGGCATATAGTAACTTAAACACAAAAAAGCAATGTTTATGTTCCCTTTTTATTTTAATTATTTTTTAGATAATCACTCACTGTGTAGGCCTAGTTGGCCTTGAACTCACAGAGATCCACCTGCGTCTACCTCCCAAGTGCTAGAATTAAAGGCATGTACCACCAGGACCTGGATCCTGGATCAACATTTTTAATTTTTCTCAAAATTAAATTTATATCTATATGTGATTTCTATAAATTTATATATATGTAATCTTTGATTAACTTTCTTCTCTAAGTAAAGAACTCTTGATAGGGAGGTTGAGGGGAAAGCTCAATCTAAACCACAGACACAATTGTTTACAAGTCCCTGCTTCCCTTTTCCACTCAAGCACAATCCCTCAAACACTGTTAGCATCCAATAAATAAAATTCAGAGCCAGGTGTGGTAGTGCACTTGAGAAGGAAGATCATGAATTCAAGGCTAGCCTGGGCTACACAGCAAGATCTTTTCTTAAGCAAAAATGACAACACAAATGCACACACAAAAAAACAGAAAAAAGTTTTAAATAGATTTGAGTACCCTTAATTATACTTATAATCAATTACAGGCCTAAATTCACTTATTTCAAACTTCTTCAATGAGGATCCACATATGGCTTACCTAAAAAGTTTTGAACAGGGCTGATGGTTATGAATTTCTGTAACCGGAAAAAGGAAAAAACAAAAAACTCAGTTAATCATGTAAGGCACAGGCAATTATAAAATAGTTCATGATTTTTTCAAATCAAAATTCAAGATAATCAAGACCACTTTCTTCTTATAAACAGGTGCCATGTGTATGCCATGAAGGCAGTTGACTGCTTTTCATTACAGCAAGAGACACAGTCTCAGAACAAAGCAGACTGGAGGGTGAGAGCTCTGCTTGCATTTGTCTCTGTGTGATGAGTGCACATCTGACAGTTTTTATTCAGGAACATGAAGCTATTGTACAACTTACTCCATCTTACCTATTTAAACAAAGCATTGCAGGAAAAAGTAGCCACTGACTGGAAGTATTTAATCAAACTGGATAAAAGCTGTGGGGACAGCTTTGGAAGAGAAGGGCCTCAACTTTCCTACCATTAATAACCCTCTAACGATGATGCCTGACAACTTGGGCCAGGTGCTTGGAATGCTGGATGTCTATCAACTCTTTCAAAGCTGGTTGGTATTAAGGAAAACAGTTACTTATAAGACAGATCCTAACAGTTTCTAAAAAAAGATGCTGGGATTAAGCAGAGTGAACAATTTCTTCAAACTCATCAGGGGGTCAAAGGCCTTTTTTTTTTTTTTTTTGAGAACATGAGAATAATTAACTAGTCAATTCTATTTACCACATTCTTATAGAGAGTGACTCATCATCTGCTGTTTAAAAAGACAGCCTTGGGATTTTAGGCAATAATTTTACCACAATTAAAATAAAAGCAGAACCTTCGATGACAGCTATTCTCATTAGTTAAGGCTGCCAAAACACATGCACAAATGCAGACCTGCTGCTGAAGAGTCATTCGCTGCATATGGCATCAATACACAATGAAAACAAGAAAACCTCATCTATAAAGTCCTTTCTTTTGATGCTTAAAATGATACAGTGTGCTACCCTACGTTATTTCAGACACAGCTAGTCACTGAGATATGGGACATGGTTAGCAAAAATGTTATTTAGGATTTAGGAAAAAGGAAAACTTACCTTTCACTTTAAAGGAAACACTATTTTGCTTACTGAAAGCCCTGGAACAACTGAACTCTGGATAAGTAGTAGTCCTCAAGCTAAATTGTCCAAAGTGTCCTTAATTTACAAGTCAGATTAGAGCAGTGGTTCTCAACCTTCCTAACACTGTGACCCTTTAATACAGTTCATCTGTGGTGACTCCAACCATAAAATTATTTTCATTGCTACTTCATAACTATAATTTTGCTACTGTGCTGAATCATAATATAAATATCTGATATGCAAGATATCTAGTATTCAACCCCTGTGAAAAGACTGTTCAATTCCCAAAGGAGTCATGATCCACAAGTTGAGAACCACTTGATTAGAGGCATATAGACATGCTCTAGGCATGCAGTTCATGGGGGGAGGGGGTGTCTGTCTAGTGTATGTGGAGGCCCTGGATTTGATATCCAGTACTTAAATAAATAATTAGCTAGAATATATACTGGAAGTGCAAGTTTCGCACTCACTGAACTACATCTGGCAATTTAGATTTTTTAAAAAAATTATTTGTATGTTTATAACCATTATATGTGGATGTCAGAGAACAATTTAGTCTTTCCTTCCACTACATGGGTCTAGGGGCTCAATCTCAAGATATTATGGCAGGAAGTGCCATTACCTACTGGGTTATTTCACTGGCCTTGAATTTATCAATTTAACCTTTACTAGATGAATTTTGAAAACCTAGGTGCAAATAACAAATAACTGCATACACAGATACCTTATAAAGTAAAATTCTACTATTCAGAATTTTAATATGTATTTTGTATCTGTGTGTGCACCTACATGTGCCATGACATACACAGGTGTGGAGGTCAAAGGACAACTTTCAAGAGTTGGTTCTTTCCTTCTATCACATGGATTCCAAGAATCAAACGCAGGTCAGTGGGTTTAGCAGCCAGTCTTCTTACTCAGTGAGCCATCCTGCCAGCCACTTTTTAGAATTTTAAGGAGTTAAGCAAAATGAAACCCCAAACCTCTCAATGAAAGGCATTGTACACAAAACATGTCTTTGCATAGCAGGGAAAGGCTGTGTCAATGCTATTATAGTCTTTCCTCTTGCAGATGGATCACCTCTTCTCCCTCAATTCTAACTCCACCTCAATCTTCACTCTTGCTCCCATTCTCTGTACTAGAAGGCTGTTAGAACAGACTTTAAATTGATGATTTGGTCCCAATGTGACAACTTATCCTCCACTCAGGTTCACTTTGAATCCTGTTTCAGTTATACAGAAAAAGGGCAGATTCTCTGTATGCTTTATATAGCCTTTATACAATGCTCCCCAAAAGGTGCAGCCCTCTAAACCTATGTTTCTTCCTTCATGATGTCATTACTGGTTTTGCACTACCAGTTTGTCCCTTGACTCAGACACTTACAAAATTTTGTTTCTTTTTTGTAGCTGTGTGGTATTTCTCTATGTTTACCATATCCTTTCCATCATGCTGGAAGGCAAAAGGTATCTAGGTATTCCTTCCTATGCCTTGAGTATACCAAGTCTTCAACAGTGTCAATGAGATGGGTCAGTGGGTAAAGTGCTTGCCATGTAAGCCTGATGATCTAAGTATGATCCCTGGAACCCATGTAAAGGAGGAAGCAGAAAATCGACTCCACAAAGTTGACCTCTGCCTTGGCACACCTGCCCCATCATGAACACACAATTTTATTAAAAGGGGCTAGAGAGAAGATCCACTGGTCTTGTAGAGGACCCTAGTTCATATCCCATTACCCACCTCAGACAGCTCACAACGACCTTTAATTTCAGCTCTAGGGGGAGCTGAGGCAGTTACCTGCATTCACATGTACATATCCACAAACACAATTTAAAAAGCGAGATAAAAAGAAAAAAGAGAGAAAAGTCCTTTAACACATTTGCTATATAAATAAATGAAACACCCCTTGCTCTATTCTTCATATCAAGACTGCCACTTGGTGATGCGTTTAAGGTATTCCTGAAGACTATGCTATTTATCAAAAAGAAACTGATTGAAAGGGAGGTGACACATCCATAAACCCTCCTTCCTCTTTCTCAGCAGCCTTTCCCAGAGTGAATGCTGAGTGTTTCCCTTGGACTCCTGTGTAGGTCTAGCAAGTATTAAGAGCATATGGAACTGTCTTTGACAGATCCCTCTAGGAAAGACTAAAACAACATCTTCATTCATTGTTGTTAGTATTCAGGCATCTGTACTGGCCTGCCTTGGGGTTCTGATAGGGTATGCCCTTATCTGCAGCCACTAAGAACACCTCCTTTGCACATTCACTATCCCCCCCCCCCTTTTTTTCCCTCGAGACAGGGTTTCTCTGCAGGTTTTGGAGACTGTCCTGGAACTCACAGAGATCCGCCTGCCTCTGCCTCCCGAGTGCTGTGATTAAAGGTGTGCGATACCGCCCAACCACTACTTTCCCTTTTAAAAGGGCCCTACCCACCTCCCATCCTCCTTGGTCTGTCTGTTCTCCCTCCCTCCCTCCTTTCCTCCCTCCCTCTCTGCCCCACCTTCCTCTCTCCTGCTGCTCCTGTCCCCAGAGGCTGGTCTCCCCACTCCCTTTCCCCTTTTTATGATACCTTTCCCTAATAAAAAACCCCTCTGCTTGAACCCTGTCTGGTGGTTCATGGCATCTTTCTCTATGGAGCATGAACTGCTTTTCTTAAATTACAATTGTAGCACGAAGTGAAACATGCAATGAGACAGAATGATCTATAGGCTTCAGGTTCACTGTGGTTTTGGAGAGACTATCAAGCAGACACATACCAATTCAGTAAGTCAGACTTGTTGCTGAGTAAGAAATAGCTTGAGAAAAGACCCATGTTTACATCTGTGCACTGTACATGAAATATCATTGTTGTGGAATCTTTTTGTACATGGTGAAGATATGTCACTTTGATTTGTTTAATAAAAAGCTGAATGGTGGCGGCGGCAGCGGTGGTGGTGGTGGTGGTGGCGGCGGCAGTGGCAGAGTCAGGCGGATTTCAGTGAGTTTGAGACCAGCCTGATCTACAAGAGCTAGTTGCAGGACAGCCTCCAAAGCCACAGAGAAACCCTGTCTTGAAAAACCAAAAAAAAAAAAAAAAAAAAAAAAAAAAAAAAAACCCAAAAAACTGAATGGCCAATAGCAAGGCAGGATTTTGGGGGCAGAGAGGATGCTGGGAAGAAGAAAGTTGGAGTTGCCAGCAGACACAGAGGGAACAGAAACACAGGAGAGGTAAAGCTAGGAATCACATGGCAACATGTAGATGAACAGAAATGGGTAAATTTAAGTTATAAGAGCTAGTTAGTGCCAGGTGGTGGTCGTGCATGCCTTTAATCCCAGCACTTGAGAGGCAGAGGCAGAGGCAGGCGAATCTCTGTTCTAGTCCAGCCTGGTCTACAAAGCTACATAGAGAAACCCTATCTTGAAAAAACAAAACAAAACAAACAAACAAAAAGCTAGTTAGAAACAAACCTAAGCTATCAACCAAGCTTTCAAAATCAATGGTAAGTCTCCATATCATTACTGGAGAGCCAACAGACCTATGGAAAAAAATCCATCTACATAACATCTTATACAATTTATTTTTATTTTTAAAAGAAGATTTAGTTGGGCGGTGGTGGGACATGCCTTTAATCCCAGCGCTTGGGAAGCAGAGACTGGGGGATCTATGTGAGTTCCAGGCCAGCCTGGTTGGTCTACATAGTGAGTTCCAGGACAGGCTCCAAAGCTACACAGAGAAACCGTCTTAAAAATCCAAAAAGAAAAATTCAATTAAGTGCATGGCTGCTCGGCCTGGAGAAATGGCTCAGAGGTTAAAAGCACTGACTGCTCTTCTAGAGGTCCTGAGTTCAATTCCCAGAAACCACATGGTGGCTCACACCATCTGTAATGAAATCTCTTCTGGCCTTACAGGGACACATGCAGGCAGAACATCGTATACCTAATAAATAAATAAATAAATATTAGGAGCATGGCTGCTCTTCCAGAGAGCCTGGGTTCAATTCCCAGCACCCATATGGTAGCTCACAGCCATCAATAATTCTAGTTCTAGGGGATCCAACACTCTCTTCTGGTCTCTGTGGACACTAGGCACACATGTGGTTAACAGATATGCATTCAGGAAAGCCACTCAAACACATAAAAACTAAAAATAAATAAATAAAAACAAAATTCAAAAGATTTACTTAAAGCCAGGCATGGTGATGCAGGCCTTTAATTCCAGTGTTCAGTAGGTAGAAGCAGTCAGATCTCTCTTGAGGCCAGCCTATCTATAGAGTGAGTTTTAGGACAGCCAAAGCTATAAAGAGAAACCCTGTCTCATAAACAAAAAAAAATTAGTTGTTTTTATGTATATCTGTGTGTGTAAGCACACTTGAGTACAGGTGCCTGTGGAGGCCACAGGAAGACATCAGATCCCGTGGAGCTGGAGTTGCAGGCAATTGCAAGCCATTTGACATAGGTGCTAGAAGAGCAACAAAATACTCTTAACCATTGAGCCATCTCTCTACTTCCTCATATCATCTATTATTTTTTTATTCAATTTATTTATTTTTGTGGGGGGGATAGCATGCTATAGCATGCATATGGAGATCAGAGAACAATCTGTGAGAAATCAATTCTCTCCCTCCACCACATGGATTCTGTGGACTGAACTTGGATTATCTATTGAGCTGTTTCACCAGTCATCATATCATCTATTGGTGGATATAATTTTAGTTTCTGCGCATTCTCTCTGATACATGGGTGGTGGGAACTGAATTCAGGTCCTCTGGAAGAGCAGTCAGTGCTCTTAACTGCTGAGCCATCTCTCCAGCCCCTGATGCATTAACACTTTACTTATTTAACCTTGAGACAAGGGCTCAAATAACCCAGGCTGGTTTCAAACTAGCTATGTAGCAAGGGCTCCTGAACCTCCTGCCTCTACCTTCAAAGTTAGGCTTGATTCTAGAGGACCTGGGTTTGATCCCCAGAACCGACAGAGTGGCTCACAACTGTCTGTAACTTCAATTCCAAGGTATCTGAAGCTTGGAATTTTAGGCTTCTAGGTCTTTAGGTTTTCAAGGGCACCAGGCATGTATACATGTATACAGACACACATGCAGGCAAATACCCATACACATAAAATAAAAATTATTAAAAAAGGATGTTTCTAAGGACAACGACAAGCTTACCAATTACTTGCAGAAACTCTGTATTGCTGATCTGTGAGTCACTGATGCTAAACGTTTCCTCTTGTCTTACCTCTCCGAGCAAAAATCCTTCCTAAAATAACAGGAGAAAATAACTAGTTAAACTTAAAGATAATTTTTGCTAGAACTTAAAGGAAACAAGGACTACTGTTTTCTATCAATTTTAACACCAATCCAAATAAGGCATGTGGCATGTAAAGTACTGTTTTGTAAACCACCAACAGGACCACAGAAAGCTGGTATACTATTAATTGGATTGATTATATGGAAGAAAATGTTCCCCAATGACATATCATTATAAACCTATACGCATTCCCTGTTTTTAGGTGAGTTCATTACTTAAATCCTAGTCAGTCCCATAGCATGCTAGACAATCTCAGGAGGCAGAAATATGCTACAGTTGCTTTCTTGAAACTTCATATAACTTACTTTATTTCTTTAAAAAACACCACTAATGATGAAAGAATAAAGACAATGACAGGATAGAGCTGGCATGAGAAATCAGGATTTCAGACAACACAGTTGCTGCCATCTAATAAACACAGAAGCTTATTTACACCCGTGGGGAAGGAATATCTATCAACATAGTCAACATGGAATTCCTTTGCAAATTACCAGTCTGAGCACTTGCTGCCATGTTTAGTACAAACATGGCTGGTAAGGATATGCCCTAAACATCAAAATAACCCTCCGGCAGAGAGGATGAGCTGATACACTGTTTTGTAATCTCTCTCTTAGATTACCCAGGGCTTACTCCTTCCCTTTGCTCAAATGGAACCTCATCTGAGAGGCTTTGCCAGACTGACATGTGGGAAATCACATCTGCCAGGCACTCTGTTCCCTGTACTCCACCTTCATTGTCTTCTCATTATCTGCCATCTTACAGACATAATCAATGCCCACTCTGGCTAAAGGGTTAGCTTGGGAGCAGGCACCTGTGCTTGTTTACTATCAGACTGCTACACTTACGTCATGCCCAACCTCACTTAATGTTCACCAAACACTTGCATAAATTTTGCTGCAACAAGACCTTGTCCTACATAATTCTCCATTCTATGCTGATTCAAAAGCTGCTATGGAATAATCCTTCTGTACACTGAGTGAATATATGTCACTATGATTGTCTTAATAATGAGCTGACTGGCCAATAGCTGAACAGGATAAAGTTAGGTGGGAAAGCCACATTGAGAATGATGGAATGAGGAAGGGCAGAGTCAGAAGAATCGCCAGCCAGATGGAGAACAAATGGGACAAAATAGGATAAAAGTAAAAGCCATAAGCCTCAGGGGAGCACATAGATTAATAGAAATGGGTTAAGTTGTTAGAGTTAGTTAGTAACAAGCCTAAGCTATTGGCTGAGCATTTACAATTTATATTAAGTCACTTATTTGGGAAGTGGTTGCTGGTTATTTGGGAGCAGGTAGTTGGGACAGAAAAACTCCACCTGCAGAAGTTTCCCAGTTTAAAAACATTTCCAGCCTGGTGGTGGTGGTGATGGAAGGCCTTTTAATCCCAGCACTTAGGAGGCAGAGACAGGGGGATCTCAGTGAGTTTGAGGCCAGCCTGGTCTACAAGTAAGTTTCAGGACAGCCAAGGCTGTTACATACCAAAACCCTGTCTCAAAAAACAGAAACAAAAACAAAGCAAAACATTTCCAGTTGCAAATGCACATTTGTGGGTGAAGGGAGCAGGACAGATGCTTTGGGGCCTCACTTCTATATGTGACTTTGCAGAGTGTCTACTAGGTGTACAGAGGACTTGCTGGGAGATGTGAGGCCTTGGTTTGACCCATAACACTACTAGCAACCCCAAAAGAGATGAAGTATCTCAAATTTCCCAAATACCACACCTCAGGGCATTCTTTAAATGCTATGGAACAATTTTTGTACACTGTAAATATATATTGTTCACACTGTTATTAAAAAGCTGATTGGGCCGGGCGGTGGTGGCACATGCCTTTAATCCTAGCAGTTGGGAGGCAGAGGCAGACGGATCTATGTGAGTTCGAGACCAGCCTGGTCTACAAGAGCTAGTTTCAGGACAGCCTCCAAAGCCACAGAGAAACCCTGTCTCAAAAAACAAAAACAAAAACAAAAGCTGATTGGTCAATGGCTAGGCAGCATTTTGGTGCAGAGAGAATGCTGGGAAGGAGGGGGAAGTCAGAGGAGTCACCAGACAGACAGAAAAGAAGCAGGACATGCAGGAGAGGTAAAAGCCATGAGTCTCAGGGCAGCACATAGATTAATAAAAATGGGCGAATTTGAATTGTAAGAGATAATTAGTAATAAGCCTGAGCTATCGCCCAAGCATTTATAATTGATAATAAATCTCTGAGTGGTTATTTGGGAAGTGTTTGGTGGAACAGGACTGAGGTCCTGACAAAAAACTCTGCCTATATTTAAATCTGACCAATGTACAGATTTCATTTACAAAAAAACAAATCTTGGGCTTGGGATATGTGTGGCTCAGTAGTAGAATGCCAAGGTTCAAGCCCCCATCACTGCAGAGAAAAAGACAGAATTCCCATATTTGAACAAATGTGTATGACTACTAGTTTGAGAAACACCAACTAACTGGTTACCGTGGCCCAAGCCAGTAGGATATGTTGAATAGGCTGATGTAGAAGGACCATGAGAAACACTATATAAACTTGCCTTATTAATTATGAGTTCTCAGGTGTGTAATACTACACCTAGCTGCAAACAAGTTTTTAACATATCTTAAATGTTACATAAAATTATTTACCTGAAATCCGATTTTAACTGTGTTCTATATTTCCCTATTAACCATAATAGTCTTCCAGCATAAGAAACAATGATAAAACTCACATGAAGCTAGGTATGGTAGCACACACCTTTAATTCCAGCACTGGTGAGGCAAAAGCAGGTGGATCTCTGAGTTCTAGACCAGTCTGGTATACATAGAGAATTCTAGGACAGCCAAAGCCACACAGAGACCCTCTCTCAAAAGAAAAAACAAACAAAAAACTCACATGACATTAAAACATCCTTAAGTTAACTAGGAATGTTTATTTATTACTGGTCTGGATTATCTGAGTAACTATTACAGCAGCATTTCTTAACCCATGAGTCATGACCCCTTTGGGTCAAATGACCCTTTCACAGGTGTTTCACATCAGATATCCTGCATATCAGATATTTACATTATAATTCATACCAGCAGCAAAATTAGAGTTATGAAGTAGCAATGCAAATAATTTTATCATTGAGGGGTTACCAAAACATGAAGAACTGTATTAAAGGATTGTGGCATTAGGAAAGTTGAGAACCACTGCATTGCATTATAGCAGGAAGAGGCAAACCACAGGCCCAACTCTGTTAATGCATGGCCTGCAAGGTAACTATGGTTTCTACATGTTCAGATGGTTGCAAAAATTAAAACAGATGTTCCATGAACTGTGAAAATCATTAGCCACTCAACTTTCAGTGCTACAAATAAGCTCTTCTTAGAACACAGTCACCTCCTTTGTTCATGGTCCACACCTTGTCTCTCCTTACAACAGCAGAACTGAAGAATTAGTGGCTAAAGAGACCATATGGCTCCAAAACTTTTTAAATAGAGAGGAAGTACTATTTCTTATTATCTGGTCCTTTTCAGAAAATGTCTGTTTTCCTCCAAGAGCCAAAAACCCAATTATCAGGGATAAGAAACTCTTTGGAGGGCAGGGCTGTCTATTGCTATTGCCCTTGGGTGCCCCCAAGAGGTGGAAGAAGTTCCTATTGCTAAAGACACACCTTGCACTTCAGAAACTTAGCCCATAGGCCCCTGAGTTGGAACAGACCTGAATAACCCCACTCCCCAGGCCCCGAGAACCAGCTTTCATATGCCAGAAGACAATATGCAAGTTTCCAAAGGAGTGGGGCAACAAACAGTCCTACCCAGCTGTGACACTTACAAACCACACAACAACCAGAACATTCAGAAGTGTAGCCCTCATCCTTCACCAAGGAAATGTCTCTCTGCAAAAGATGGAAACCATTACAGAAAACCACAACCAATCATGGATCCCAGTCCCAGTGGACACATTTACAAAACACTCCCATATAAGGCTCAGGGAACATTGTGGAAGAGGGTAGAAAGACAGTAAGAGGCAAAGGAGTTAGCTGTGAGATTGTTAGAAGCTATGCCCATAAAGTCTCACAAATATGACTGGTTAATAAACATGAGCTGAACAAGATGACACCAATAACAGGACAAAGTGGAAGGGTGAAAGCACAAAAAGCCTCAGCCCTACACAAAGAACTACAGGCCACTAAGGAATGCTGAGAGTGGGACAAAGTCTTCCCTAGGGAAGAGCAAAACAACTGGTTATCCAAAACAAATGGTCAGCCCTGATAACATACATATGATAACATTACACAGACTGAGCAGGTTATATTTAGGTATATGTACGTATACATATATAAATATAAACGTGTAATAACTATTAATGAAAAAAGAGACCATGGGAGGGTTTGGAGGGAAGAAAAGGGAGAAATGATGTAATTATAATCTCAAAAAGAAAGGAATTTTTTGTTTGTTTGTTTTTTTCGAGACAGAGTTTCTCTGTAGCTTTGGAGCCTGTCCTGGTACTCACTCTGTACACCAGGCTGGCCTCTAACTCATAGAGATTTGACTGTCTCTGTCTCCCGAGTGCTGGGATAAAAGGCATGCGCCACCACACTGCCTGGCCAAAAAAAAATTTAAATGTTTGCTAACCTTGGCTCTATAGAATAACTTTGGCTTTAGACTAATTTTCTTAGACCAAACAAATGTGTCTTACAAAAATAAATTTGTGGTTCTTCAACTTTAAAAATGACACTACTTTTAAGTATTCCACATCCATAACTGTGGTAAATTTAATAGAAACGAATATAATTGTATAAAACACAATGCAAATGTATAAAATCTCTAGCCTCAGCCAGGTGGTGGAAGTGCACGCCTTTGATCCCAGAACTTGGGAGGCAGAGGCGGGCAGATCTCTGTGAGTTAGAGACTAGCCTGGTCTACAAAAGCTAGTTCCAGGACAGCCTCCAAAGCCACAGAGAAACCCTGTCTCGAAAAAAACAAAAAAAAACAAAACATTTCTAGCCTCATGCAATCTAAAACTGGTTATAATGGTGTACCCCTGAAATTCCATCACATAGGAGGTTGGAGATAGGATAAGGAGTTCAAGCCCAGCCTTAATTATATGACATTATTTCAAAACAGCAAATAACCAACAAGGAATTATTAACAATTGAAACAAGAGGACTACAGCAATGTCTAGAGTGACTGTTGACGCTTCTTATCCTTATAATAATCTTGTCTATAGACTATGATATTCCTAGGTACTCTAAAATAATCAGAGTAAAGCAGCAGCCCTGAACTCATAACCATGGTCCACAGACACTAGCAGTAGCACAACCACTTATGGGTGGCTGCAATACCAAAAGCTACTCAGAGCTATCTCTGAAAAAAAAAGGGGGGGGGAGGGTACTATGCTGAATATATTCCTATCAGTGATCTCTACCATCAACACTGCAGAGATGAAAAGAACAGTAAATTCATTTCACTCAATTTTACTAAGGGAATTACCTCTCAGAATCAGTTTTTAATTAATGGAAGAAAAGATTGCTGACATTAAACCAAATCCAATCCTCCAGCTATCGTTGTTTTGTACTGACAACCACAGAAACACATTCTTACTTATGAATTTGAATTGCTAGCCAATAATACCACTTTTAAAAAAAAAATCCCCCAACTGGTGGGCAAATTAATTACGTCCTGTAAAAGCATCTATAATCACAAAGAATTTCCAGTCAGAGGTCAGCTTAAAATAAGAGACCATGCTCCTACGGACTCCACGATCGCTCATATGTGGGCCTGTCACTTCCTTATTAAGACTAGTTCCATGGATTAGAATGTTCGCTGAGGAACTAAACAAGCAACTTCGAGGAAGTGCAAACAGACGCGGCACCTAAGGCGCCTGTTCACATTCTCCATTTCCCACCGGGTGGAAAAAAAAAATCACAAACACGCACACACACGCATACACACACACACACACACACACACACACACACACACAAACAACACAAACAAGAACACACGCACACACACGCATACACACACACACACACACACTCACACACACAGTCACACACACACTCACACACACGAAGAGTGACAGCCACGACAACCAGTGAGGCCAGCAGGCAGGACTTGGTTCCTCTCCTTCTAGACTCCAAGCCTGATCTCTCTACTCCTTCCCGACCCAGGGGCGCTCCTCAAGTCTGTGAGCCCGACTCTCGGCGAGCGGTAGACACCCAGTTTTGCAAAGCAATTCCTGACACTGGCGGGGCCGGGCACTTTACGTCTGCTGGACTGAGAACAGCTGTGCCAGGACCCGCCCGAGGCCGAGAGCGCCAAGGGAAGGGCCCGCGGAGTGCAGGAGCTGGAGAGGGGCGGGAGCCGCCTGGGTCACCAGCTCCTCGGCTTGGCCCCGGTACCGAGGGCCGAGCCTCCAGCGGTCCCCGCTTGGCCTCAGGAGCCGGCCCGAGGAGGAGGCCGAAGGTCCCAGCGGCCACGGTAGGGGGCCCGGCACCTACGTGGTCGGCGTTGCTGTTGGCGCTGTGAAAACACACAGCGCTGAAGGTGTAGCCCGAAATGGAAGCCGCCATGATGGAAATCTCCACCTCCCCCATCATGCCCCGCGCTGGGCGCAGAGTCTTCTGGACGCCCCGCCGCTGAGCATTTTGGGAAATGGAGTCTTCCAAGCTGGGGGCGGGGGAGGAGAGGGTAGGAATTACAGATCTAAGAGACGCAGCACTTTCCCTTACACTTTCTGTTACACATGTTATAACCCAGTTTGTCCATTCTGCAAATGAAGCTGAAGGATGAAAGGCTGGAGATGACTCAAGCAATTGCACAGTTTGAGCTTTGACACGGGAAAAACATGATGTAATTTCAGTCTGAACAGACCACTTTGCCTACCTGGTTGAGACTAATGTCTAGGAGAGGTGGAAGGGAAAGGGAGATCTACAATAATCTTGACTGATGTAGTGACGGTAATTTTGGTCAGAAGTAGTAGAGCTGATAAAACGATAGGATTCTGTACTGAAAAATAATTCAACTGTAAGCCGTGTTCAAGGCCAGCCAAAGCTCCTAGACTTGTTTCAACAAACAAAACCTACAAATTTAGGGAAGATCATAGGAGATAAAAACAAATAAGTAAAACTATAAAAATTAGAAAAAGGAAACTCTTCAGGGAAGGAACTTACTCTTTTGCAACTTGTTGAATCTTCAGTGTTTCAAGCTTGGTTTCCCTACAAAGCTGCCATTCACTCCTTTCCTAAGTTCAGCAAATAAAACTGTTTCTGATAATTGCTCAATTCAAAAATCCTTGCAGTCAACCTTGACAACTCCTTTTCTCTTGATCCCCACATCAGATAAACTGAAACAATCTTCAAAATATAGCCACCTACAATTCACGACCAGCACACCTGCTACTCTGAGCCAAAGCATCATCATCTCTCTCTCTTAGTTACAGTGATTTCTCAGAGAGAGTCTCAGTTGGTGGTAAGTTTGCCTTTAAGGGACACTTGACATTGTTGGCAGATATTTTCCAATGCCAAACTGAGAGGAAGGAGAGAAAGGCAGGAAAGGCTTCATAACAGAATTGAATACTCCAAATATCAAGGTAATGAAGTGATGCTGTTAACCTGCCAAATACATTCTCAACATAGCCAATGAAATGGTCATGTTAATGTTCAAATATAAGGTGTCAATCACACTTAGCCAACCTCCAAACTCTCCACTAACAGAACCACCCCCCACCCCCACCCCTGTATTTCTGATTGTATTTCTTACTTCTGCTATCTTGGTTTGCTCAGTTTCAGCTACAGTAGTAGCCTTTTTGCTTTCTGGAAACACTGACAGTTCATCATGTCATAGTGCTTTTACATTTCTTGTCTCCTCTGCCTAGAATGTTGGTCTTCTAGTCAACTGCATGACTCACTGTTTTATGCCTGCTCTAGGTGTTCTGAAAGGCCACCAGACCCCTTCTTGCAGGACTGATTGGGTTAGTCTGGTTACTGGGGAAGTTTTCATTGATAGCTCCCAACTTACATCTGAAATTATTCCCTGAGAAAGACAACCTAACTTGCCAACAGCAGTTCTTTCCAGATCAGCTAGTTTTCTCATACAGTTTAAGACTGCATGCTTATGTGCCACCCACAAAGGGCTGTGCCCTCCTACATCAATTATAAATTGTTAGGAATTAAATCTGATGGTTCACTTTTCAAAGGTTACTTGAGCCAGTTTAGATCCAGCTACAGGTGAACAGAAAATATTTGACCCTCCCTAATGACTGCTAGTCTATCTAGTCCTCCTACACACAAACTTTAATAAGCCACCCTCCCAAAATGTAAGTTTAGTGTAGAAAATCACAGACAACCAAGCTTGCCTACAAGGTCATATGTTTGATAAGCTTTAAAATAAGCAGGATGCTGGGTGGCAGTGGCACATGCTTTTGATACCAGCACTCAGGAGATAGAGGTAGGATGAGACTCTGTGAGTTCAAGGCCAGCCTGGTCCAGGACAGCCAAGGCTATACAGAGAAACCCTGTCTTGAAAAACCAAAAATAAGATAAAATAAATTAAGCAAGATGGAGGCAGACCCACTCATGTTTTTTTGTTGTTAGGATTATACCTTCCTAATTATTTAAAAAAGGAAAGGTCTTTTGCTAGGGTTTATAACTATACTTTGCACTCAGTAGTAGGCTTGCCATCCTAGGCTCACATAGGAGTTTTCAAGGTTGCAAAATAAACTGCTTCACTTTTTTGTTTGTTTGTTTTTTGAGACAGGGTTTCTCTGTATAGCCCTGGCTGTCATGGAACTCTATCTGTAGACCAAGCTGGCCTTGAACTCACAGAGATCTGCCTGCCTCTGCATCCTGAGTGCTGGGATTAAAGGAGTGTGCCATCACTACCCAGTCAGTATCCAGTACTCTTATTATGAAGTGAGGGCTATTGTTTCTGACACTCTTAAGACATACCCCACAGTTGTGCCCAGCAAGCCAATCTGATCTACGTAATTTCTCAATTAAGGTTCTCTTCCCAGATAATTCTAAGATGTGTCAAGTTGATAAAGCTAACCAAGAAAAACTCCTATCACTATCTAGCTTTATCTCTACTTTTTATTCCATTTTACAGATTATTGTCTTTTTCCCCTGCTAGCCTATTCTGAAATTCATGAAGATAAGAGTTCATGCTTTATTTGTTTGCTGTTGTATTTTTACCATATGGAATAATGCCAGGCATGTAGATCATGCCCAATTTGTAACTATTGAGTAAATGTTGTGTGAAAAAGTGTGGAGTCCAAAGAAGATGGTTTTTATCCTATCAGCAGGTTACTGAGGAGAATGGACATGTACTGAGCTGGCAGTGCCTACCTTATATCTTAATACTTTGGAGGCAGAGGCAGATACCACTAGCTCAGTACAAAGTACAATCCCTAGACCCCACATGGTGGAAGGAAAGAACTGACTCTTGAGGGTTATTCTCTGATGTTTCCACACACAATGTACACATGGTGTATGTGTGTTCAGGAGAGAGGGAGCTGGCATTCAGAATAAGTATGTGATAAAATTTTTTAAAAAGTCTGGAGGCATGAGAGCATGGGTAGGACCCATAAGTTCAGTTTCATTGAATTTAAGGCATCAAGAGAAATCTAGGCAGCTAGAAGAATAAGTTGGAACTGGGGCAAGAGGTTAAACTGGAAGTCATTACAGGCTAGGACAGTAGTTCTCAATCTGTGGGTTTAGGCATATCAGATATTTACATTATGGCTCATAAAAGTAGCAAAATTAAGGTTATGAAGAAGCAATGAAATAATTTTATGGTTGAAGGTCACCATAACATGAGGAACTACATTAAAAGGTTGCAATATTAAGGTTGAAAACTGACAGGCTGTGGTGGCGAAAACCTTTAATCCCAGCACTTAGGAAGCAGAGGCAGATGGATCTCAGAGAGTTCAAGGCCAGCCTGGTCTACAAAGTGAGTTCCAGGACAGCTAGGAACACAGGCAGTTACACAGGGAAACCCTGTCTTGAAAAAACATAAAAAAGAAGGTTGAGAACCACTGGGCTGGAGGCTCCTTTACCTGATATACTTTTTTCCTTCGAGACAGGGTTTCTCTGTGGCTTTGGAGGCTGTCCTGGAACTATCTCTTGTAGACCAGGCTGGTCGAGAACTCACAGAGATCCCCCTGCCTCTGCCTTCCAAGTGCTGGGATTAAAGGGGTGCACCACCACTGCCCAGCCCTTGATATACATAAGACCAGAATTATTTCATATTTTGGAGCTGTTTGGATTTTAACTCTTAGATTAGTGATTGTGCTGGTTGGTTTTTGTCAACGTGACATAAACCTAGACATAGCTGGGAAAAAGGGAATCACAATTGAGGACTTGCCTCCATCAGATTGGCCTCTCAACTTGCTTGTGGGACATTTTCTTGATTGTTAACTGAAGTAGAAGGGTTCAACTGACTGTGAGCAGTGCCATCCTTGGGCATGTGGGTCTGGGCTATTTAAGAAAGGTAGCTGAGCAAGGTGAGTAAGTGCTCCTCCTCAGAAACCTGCTTCAATCCCTGCCTTCAAGCTTCCACCTTGAGTTCTTTGCCTTGCTTTCCCTCAGTGATGGGCTATATAACCTGTAGATCAAATAGACCCTTTCCTCAATAACACGTTGGTCAGCATTTTATCACAGCAAAAGGAAATGAAACTAGACTAACGATGTTCAACTTGTAATAAAGATAATAGCCGACATTTTCGGAACCCTGACTATATGTAAGGTCTTTCCTTGGCTCTTGAAACATGCAGTGCATTCACTTACACTTCCTGACATTTCTGTGAAACAGTATATTTTTAAAGCCCCATTTTATAGTTGAAAACGAACAGAACTTAAATTTACTATTTCTCATATGTCAGACAGGTAGGATTGGACTGGAGTAATCTAATTGACATTCTCTAGGTGCCTTGTGTGTTAGGTGCTACTGTTATGCTTGTTAATATATGTTATGCAAACTGACCTGGGGAAGTTAAAAGAACTTGACCATGGTGATTCCCAGTCTCAAAACATGAGGATCCAACTCAAGAACTGAGTGCCCACTGTCCCCTTTCAAAAGTACATATCAGCTGGGTGGTGGTGGCTCATGCCTTTAATTCCAGCACTTGGGAGGCAGCAGCAAGTGGATCTCTTTGAGTTCCAGGCCAGCCTGGTCTACAGAGTTAGTTCCAGGACAGCTAAAGTTACACAAAGAAACCCTGTCTCGAAAAACCAACCAACCAACCAAAGCAAACCAAACCAACCAAACCAAACCAAAACAGAAAGCTCACATCAAAACAGAAGTGAGAAATGGGGGTGAGGGAGGGTAAGGAGGGTTTTTCTAGAAGTGTGTGTACTGACTGTTGCATGGTCAAAGAAGGAAAAGCTCTCCCTTGATCTTGGATTTGTCAAATGGGAAATGCTTGAGGACTCTCAGAAACATAGTTCCAGAGGAGCTGTGGGTGAACACTGCTAGTCTGCAGGGATTAAAAAAAAAAAAAAAACCCAAAAACCAAAACAAAATAACCACTGGCAACCTCAGGTTGTATAGGTCTGCCTTTGGGCTTCTGTAACTGGTGCTCTGTGGGAAGGGCTGTGTTCTTTATATAGTTCTGTTTCTCCCTGGTGCTGCTAGACAGCTTGCCCAATGGAACTTCTCCTCCAGCCAAGAATCCCCTCTCCCTGGGTGATCAGAGGTGGTGCCCCCACAGCCCTCAGGACTAAGCAGCCAGAATAATCCTTCCTGGAGTCAGGGAAGGGATTTGGTATAAACCATGGCTTTTCCCAGGGCTCTGTACCAACAACTGTTTATAGCTTTCATCACACACAGCGAAAACATCTTAAGTGTTGGCAAGATACTAGGCTGAAGGCAGGCTTATCTTTCATGGATGCTTCTTAATTAGAACTGAAAACTTTTACAGACCCAGTGCGTCACATTCAGGTTTGCTTTCTGTAGCATCTAGAGTCTAGAAAAGATCAAAACAACTACTTGCCCAAGGCAGCACTAATTGGCTGTGGTATCCGGTGGTTTTATTGCTCTGTAATAAGGTTACTTACGCTCTTTCTTGAGTTCTTTAATCACTATGTACATGGATTTCCATCTGCCCTTTACTTTATTCTTTATTGCCAGAAGATCTTGGAACACCATGTGTAGGAGAAGATGAACTGCAAACTGGGAGGGTAACTGTTGTTGCCATTTGCCTCAAGGGACTTGTTATTGGGCTTCTGTCTGTGGAGTCAACAGAAAGGTAGCCTTGGAAACAAGTTTTTGTCGGCAGGCAGCTTGTTAGGAGCCTCTGAAATCCTTGCCTAGGACATTGGACCATGACTATTTCATGGCTAGTACAGAAAATATCCTAGGCCCATAACACATAAGATCTTTTCCATTGTATTGAGAACTACGGGCTGCAGTCAAAAGCAATAGGCAGAAGACATCTCAGGTTCACGAAGTCTTGAGTAACAAGTCACCTTTTATTTTGAGCAAACTACGGTGTCAAACTAAAGCATGCAGAGGTGGAGGCTTGGGCAGGCTCAGATGCCTAGCTGGGCACAGAGGAAGACCCACCCAGGTACCCGAACATTCCGCTACTCATTTTATCACAGCTCCATGGCTGGGGTGCTGTGGGTGGCCCTAAGGCATTCATTTCCTTGACCAAAAGCTCTTAAAGGGTCAGCCGGTTGCATCAAGTTACTTTCCAGAATTCTAGCCACAAATGAAATTAGTCTTTTGGTCGGGAAGCCAGTAATGCGATGGGCTGATCTACTACATTCCAGATCTGCCTCGCTAGAGCAAGGAGATGACATGAATTTGGACTGTGGTGTGTGTTTCGGATGTTTTTGTGGCGTCTGACAGCGAGTTTCCCAAAGTGCAGTACTTTGAACGATGGCTTACAAACAGCAGTCCCCAGATATGGTCACTTTGAGAGAGAGTAAGGGATACAAGCGATGTAGGCTGGAGGGAGAAGACATCTAGGAAGCCTAGATTCTCTACTGCGGGTTGGCCTCTCATGGCAAGGTTGGAGCATTAGAGAGGGAGACGGTCTTCCATTGCCTAGAGAGGCCAGGCCTGCGCGTCCGCTCTGCCCGAACCGCGTCTCTATGGCGGCCGCGACAGCCCATTAGACGCAGAGCGACATGAACGCGGATGCTGACGGCCACAGCGGCGCTGCGGTACCTGTGCAATCTCGAGAGGGCAGTCCCGTGGCGGCTGACTTCGTCCCGTCGGCGCTGGGGACACGAGAGCAGTGAGTGTGGCGGGGAGGGTAAGCGGGAGCCTGAGGCCCGGAAGGAGACAGCGCTCCCTCACCCCCAACCTTCAGTGGGGGCCTGAGGGAGGAGGGTGCAGGCCACCTGTGGGTGCTTAAGGGGCGAGATCTCCAGGGTGTCCTGAGCAGCGGTTAACCCTCTTTCAAGGGATTCAAGGCCATCAGAGGGCCTTAGGGTGCCGGTGTACAGGTCTGGGGGAGAGGGAGGCCTGGGCAAAGCACCGGACAACCGGCTCTGGAGAGCTTTGAGATCAGGGAGCTGGAGGAGGTCGTAGTGGAGGATGCTCTGAACTGTGAGCTTGGGAGATGGTAGGGGGTCTGGGGAAAAGAAAGTGTTATGATCTAAAGTTGATGCCAAGAAATTAATGGGCTAGAATATAGATGAATGAATGTGGGGAACAGGGATTAGGATGAGAGGAAATTCGGGTGAGGGAGCAGGGATTGCAGAGATGAACTAGGAAGAGAAAGCAGATGGTAAGAGGAGAGGGGGCTTGCTGTTGTAAGGATTAAGAGATTTAATGGGAAAGCTAGAATACAAGGAGAGGCAGAGACTGTTTTAGCACATTATTTTAATTTTGTCTTTGCTGTGTTCATTGTGAGCAAACCACTGACCTGGAAAATCCTGTATCCGCACATTGATGACCACATTTGAGTAACAAACTCGGTTTGTACAGCCCAGTTTGGTCTGGGACTTAAGAGATTCTTGGGCAGTTGCCTGTTTTTATCCTTTAAGCTAAAATGTATATAGGATTATGCATCAGATGAGTATAAACTTGTTTGATTTATTCTGCTTGCCCACAATTTTCATTCTTTTAACCCAAGGATGTTAAAAAAAAATTGAACTGTATGCACTTATTGATAACACCAATAATGTTTTAAGGCCATTGTAAGTAGCCATGTAATGCATTGGAAATAATCTGTTTGATTCACAAAATACAGTTTAAATGCTTCACATTTCATTGTTTATGTAGTTGGGATGCTGTTTATGAGAGAGAACTGAGAACATTCCAAGAATATGGAGATACAGGAGAAATCTGGTGAGTTAAGCTAAGGAATTATTTTTGTGGGTGTGAGAGAGTATGAGCAAGTGAACTCACAACAGTGGCAGTGTAGCTGGGTGGTGGTGGTGGTGGTGGTGGTGCATGCCTTTAATCCCAGCACTCGGAGGCAGAGGCAGGCACATCTTTGTGAGTTCGAGACCAGCCTGGTCTACAAGTGCTAGTTCTAGGACAGCCTCCAAAGCTATACAGAGAAACCCTATCTCGAAAAACCATACCAAACCAAACAATGGCATTCTAGAAGCATGGGTTGAATTTGGCTTCAGTGCTTTAAAATATCTCCTTCCTTCCTTCCTTCTTTCCTTCCTTCCTTCCTTCCTTCCTTCCTTCCTTCCTTCCTTCCTTCCTTCCGTGACTTTAAAATATCTCTTTCCTTTCTTCCTTCCTTTCATTTTTTTTTTTTTTGTTTTTGTTTTTTGAGATAGCATTTTCCTGAATTTGTTCAATAGACCTCAGACTCAGAGATCCTCTTGCCTCTGCCTGACTCTTGCTTCAATGACAGCTTTAAATGTCTTTTCTTTTTTTGCGACCCAGATTTAAACTGATCACACTACTAGGAAGTTACTTTCATTCCACAGTTGTCATTTTTCAGTTAAGTAATGAAGTTCTGATGTACCAAAATTTGCTGATGTCCAAGAAGGCAGTTATGAGGACAACATTTTAAAGGATTAATGCTGATGTAAATAGTGTGTGTGTGTGAGTGTGTATGTGTGCATGTGTGTTTATAAATATGTATATCCATATACGTATTACTTATTTACATGCATTAGTATATATAACACATACCTTGGGTATTCTATCTTTAGAGGTGTAATCTCCTAAATAACAATAAAGATGAATATTACTTCTTACCTTTCAGAAAAGACTAAAGTGAGCATATGATATGAACAGCTTAAGTGAAATATAGTTGTAACTTTTGCTGTGTATCTGCTCTTTGTATTCTGTTTCTAACAGGTTTGGGGAAGAGAGTATGAACCGACTAATAAGGTGGCTGCAAAAACACAAGATCCCATCAGATGCCTCAGTGCTTGATATTGGAACTGGAAATGGTGTTTTCCTGGTTGAACTTGTTGGTACTTTTAGTATTTATGTGTTTGAGCCAATTCTTAAAATGAAAGTTTAAAAGAAAATGTTGCGGTTAAGAGATTACCATGTAAATGTGAAATGAAAAACAGTTGGAAAACTTTGAGTGTTCACATGGGAGGAAAGGGAGACTGCTTGGATTTTTTGGGAAAGCAGTAAAAATGTGGTGTCAGGCATAATCATGAAAGCTGGACTCCCAGATGTTTAGTGAATGGTGAAGTTCTAGAAGTGAAAGATCTCAAAAGTCATAATCCTGAAAGAGTAAAAGCTTAAATGTGACATTCTGGAAGCCAGAATTCTGAAAACCTCAGTCCCAGTATTCCTATAGCAGAAAGCAAAGGGTGTATAAGGAGAATAAAGGTAAATAATGAGGAGGGGGTTAGAACATTGGTGGTCCTATATTTGATAGTTATATCTTGTTAGGTGTGGCGAATACTGAAAATCTGAGTTGAGCATTGTTTAGGATGTGTAGGTTTCCAGAGGAGATTAATGTCTGAGTCTGGATGGATTAAGAGAAGAGCCTTCTTAGTATGGTTGTACACCATCCAGTAGGTTGAGGCCTGTCAAGGACAAACACAGAAGCTAACATGGTCTTTGTAAAAGTTAGGACCGTTTCTTTTTGCTGTTGTGTACTTTGAAAATCTTGGCCTTCGGACTCTAGGGCTTACACCAGTGGTCTAGGATCCTTAGACTTTGAGCTATAGACTGAGAGTTATCGAATTAGCTCTACTAGTTCTTAGGTCTTTGGACTTGATCTGAGTCGTACTCCTGGCATCTCCTGCAGACAGCCTGTGACTTCTCAGTCACAATAATTGTGTGAGCCAATTCCTCCAATAAACCCTTCTCATACCTGTATCTCTATATCTATATCTCATAACTGGTTTTTGTCTGTATATATTTTTACTAATATAGATTTGGTATTGGGAAAACAGCATCATGCCTTCTCACTGTATTCCTTAGAACATAATGAAATCTGCAAAATTGTTCCCTCATAAAAAGGTTTTGCAATCCTTTAATCTTTATATTTGCTTATTTGTATATATGTGCATTAGGCTTTGATGGCCAAGTAAATTTTCTTCTGCACAAAGGCAGTGATCATTTAATTGTTCAGGGTTACTTATTGATTAAAGATAACCATTTTAAAGTTAAGGTCAGCGAGACAGCTTAGTGGATGAGAATACTTGCTCCCAAGCCTGCCCACCTGTGTTTGATTCCTGAAATCTATGTGTGAAAAGAGAGAACTGATTCAGTAATGCTACTTACCTCCATAGGGATACCTCTGTTCTTACACAAAATGCAAAAAAAGTATAAAACCTTTTTTTTTAAGTTGATTTTTTTTCTTTTCGGTTGAGACAGGGTCTCTATGTAGCCCTGCCTATCTTGGAATTCTCTTTGAAAATCAGGCTGATCTAAAATGCACAGAGATCTGCCTGTCTCTGCCTTCTGAGTGTTGGGATTAAAGGTGTTGCCCAGCAAGTTAAAAAAAAAAAAAGTAAGCTAATTATTGGTGCTGTGATTACTGCTTAATTTCAACAACCAAAAAATAACCTTTCAAAGGGACACATATGCTTAACAGAAATACTCTTCAAATGACAGTGCAGCGTTGCCAAGATTGCAGTGAAAATGTTGGCTTAAAATTCAAGGTCTTGGCTGGATGGTGGCCGTGCACCCCTTTGATCCCAGAACTTGGAAGGCAGAGGCAGGTGGATCTCTGTTTATTCGAGGCTAGCCTGGTCTACAAGAGCTAGTTCCAGGACAGCCAGAGCAGCATAGGAAAACCCTATCTCAACCCCCCCCCAAAAAAAAAAATTATTGCACTGTGTATCTGTGTGAGTGTCTTTGGTGTATTTGAGAATGTCCAGAGAGGCCAGAAAAGATTGTTAGATCCCCTGAAGCTGGAGTTGCAGGTAGGTGTGAGCTTCCTTATGTGGGTGCTGGGAGCTAAATTCAGGTCCTCTGGAAGAACAGAAAGCACTGTTAACCTCTCAGCCATGGATCCAGTCCAAGATAGAACTTTTTGATAGGGAGTGATTATGTTGCTTTATATGAGTCATAGAATTTCAGAAGAACAGTACCCAAGAAGATAAACTCAAGCATACTATCCAAGAAAGACAAATGCTCATCTTGACATGAGATTACTTTCTTGTATGTATTTGCTCATAATCTATCCCTACTTATGTGTTGAGCTTTCATGCTTTCTTTTTTTCCTTTTCCTTTTTTTCCTTGTCATTTGTTTCCATTATTTTAAATCACTAGTTGTTTTTTAAAATTATGTGATTTTCTCTGCTATATATCTCATCTTTTGCTTCATTTTGTATAAAGTGTGTAAAGACTTAAGAATTATGATTTGGGCCAAGAGTGATGGCATACACCTTTAATCTCAGCACTCAATGGAAGGTGGATCTTTGTGTGTTCAAAGGCTATCCTGGTCTATGCAGAGAATTCCAGGCCAGCCAAGGAATTATAGTAAAAGCCTGTCTAAAAAACAAACAATAATAAGACCAGAATAATGTTTGTTTTTATACCTTTTTTCAGATTTGTGTTATTGGTATGTAGCAGTGAATTTGGCTTAAACATAGAGATGCTGATGTTAGTAAATGAGGAGGTGAGGTTTTTTGGCATCTGTGAAATTTAAGAAAGTTTCTTTGTTTTCAAATTATTAAGTAAACTTTGTGTTTTTTTTTTTTTAAAACTTTAATTTTTGATGGGTGGTGGTAGTGTACACTTTTAGTCCCAGCACTCAGGAGATAGAGACAGGTGGATCTCTGAGCTATAGACCAACCTGGTCTACAGAGCAAGTTTCAGGATAGTTAGGGCTATACAGAGAAATCCTGTCTCATAAAATCAACCAAACAACCCCCCCAAAGCCTTTAATTTTTATTTGTTTGATGTGCATGATTGTTTCATCTACATGAGTTTATATGGAGTTGTAGTTATTGTGAGCCATCATGTGGGTGCTGGGAACTTGACCTACATCCTCTGCAAGAGCAGAATATGCTTTTAACTGCTGAGCCATCTCTCTAGCCTGTATTTATTTGTTTTTTTGTCCTTTGAGACAGGGTCATTGTATAGCCCTGGCTGACCTGAATCTTGATTTGTAGACTGGACTGGTCTTGAATTCACAGAGAACTGCCTGCCTCTGTCTCCCAAATTCTGGGATCAAAGGAGAGTGCCATAATGTCCTGTGCTTGTTTTGTTTTTGAAGTAGAATCTTGCTGTGTTATCCAGTTACTCTGTTTTGTTTGTTTGTTTGTTTGTTTGTTTTGTTTTTGTTTTTTGTTTTTTGAGACAGGGTTTTTCTGTGTAGCTTTGGAGCCTATCCTGGCCCTCACTCTGGAGACCAGGGTGGCCTCGAACTCACAGAGATATGCCTGCCTCTGCCTCCCTGGCAGAGTGCTGGGATTAAAGGCAGCGTGCACCACCAAGGCCCGGCACAATCTTTTTTTTTTTTTTTTAAGCATAATTTATTTAATTTTATGTGCATTGATGTTTTCCCTGTATGTATGTTTGTGTGAGGGTGTTGGATACCCTTGAACTGGAGTTTTAGTCGTGAGCCACCATGTAGGTGCTTGGGATTGAACCCAGGTCCTCTAGAAGAAGAACCAGAGCTCTTAACCATTGAGCCATTTCTCCAGTCCCCCTTGCTCGAGTCTTTACCTCGAGCAAGCCCCCTTAATTTTTCTGGGCTTCAGTTTCTCCTGATGGTGTAGGCTGGGTGATCTGTATTAACTTCTTTTAGTCCAAAACTCTAGAAATCTATGTATATTAAAAAGAGATGGGGCTGGAGAGGTGGCTTATTGGTTAAGAGTCCTTGCTGCTCTTGCAGGGGACCCGGGTTCAGTTCTAGCATGGGGCTCACTCACAACCACCTGCAACTCCAGTTCCAGGGGATCATTCAAGTCTTCTGACCTCCACAGGCACCAGGCAAGTTTGTAGTGCACGTAAATTCAGGCAGAACACCCGTGTCTGTAAAATTTTAAATATCATTTAAAAAGAGATGTTTGCAATTCTAGTAGAGCAAGTACCTTTGCTAGCTGAGCCACTAAAGATGTATACAGAAGATTAAAATTTGCTAGTGATTACCATACTAATACTAGGTACTGGAAGCTTAAAAGTATGGATCTTGTACTTGAATTATTTATAGTTTAATAGTGGATGGGCTGACAGATAGTTAAAGTGTAACTCATTATATGTAATAATGGATATACTGAGTATAAAAGAGGAGGCAGTTAGCATTGGAAAAGAGGGACAGGGAAAGGTCTTGAGGAATTAATATCCAGATTGGGTAGGAATCTCAGGGCATGGTAGTGAGTGCAGGTGGAGCGGAATTACAGAGGGAGAAAATTTTGGAAAATGAGAACTAAATACATGAAGGTTGAGGCAGCATAGACCCCGAGTCTATAAATAATTGACAAAATAGAATTTGTGTGGGGTGGGGATAAAGATTAGGATTAAGTTCAAGGTAGCTACTGTATTATATGTTGAATTATGCAAGAGCTTAGTTTTTGCTAATATCTGTCTGTCTGTATTTATTCTGAGACAGGGTTTCTCTGTGTAACCCTGACTGCCCTGGAACTAGCTCTGTAGATCAGGCCAGACTCAAACTCAGAGATCTACCTGCCTCTTCCTCCCAAGTGCTGGCATTAAAGTTGTGCACCACCACCACCCAGCCAAAAGAATCTGTTTTCAAAAATCAGAAAAAATACAATTTAACAGCATAGAACATATGTTCTTTAAAGGGCAGGAATGAAATGTCTGCAACTCAGTGGATTGTCACAAAGTGAACACTCATACAGTAGTCACTGTGGTCAAGTTTCTTCTTCTCTAAAAGTAACCTCTGTCCTCTGCTGGTTAGCCAAATGGGTCTTCACTTTATAGACCAATTAGCCTGTTTTTAAGTATGTCAGAACTTAGGTCTCCATGCAACATATTTGAGATCTGCTGGTGCTGACTGCAGTATTTGGTTATTCTCATTGCTATGTGTAG